CACCTCACCCTCCCAAAGTACTGGGATTACAGGTTGAGCCTGGCTGAACTAGGCAATCTTAATGGTTCTATATTGTGTCAGAAATTGATACAGAGACCTGCTATTGTCTGTCCATATTGCCACAACCCCTAGAGAAGGGCGTGGCAGGGTTCGAGTACTCCTGCATGTACCCACATTCCTGAGAGTTAACAAAAAGTGCATGTCCCCTTATCTCCTATGCACTCCCAGTAAGCAACTTCAAAGAATCCTTAACTTCTCCGTAGACTCTGCCCAACAAACGGAGAGATGTAAATTTCCATTTACGCTCTTTTCGTAGTAGTCACATGTTTGAATAAGATAGCATCAAGGTAATCCCAGGTCTTGTGATTTGTATAACTTTTGTGTCAATGTAATTGAGTATCTTTTATATCAGTGTAATCATAAGTAAGTCATGTGTATAACAATATGTAGTAATGAATGATGTCTTAGGCACTGTTAATTCCCTTCACTCTATGGCAAGCTTGATTAACACCTCTGTTTGGTGTTACTGATAAAAAGCTGTGAGATACCTCTGGTAACTGGTACCAGGAAATGTGAACCATGAATGTCATTATTGATAAAATGTGGCTGTGACTTAAGTTCTATACAATGCTCTGCGAGTCACGTAGTCAATGTAGAAGTTTCAACAATCCTGAACTTATAACAGTGGACTGTAGGCCGGGCTCCATGGCTCAGCCTGGAATCCCAGCATTTTGGGAGGCCGAGGCGAATGGATTGCCTGAGTCTGTGGGTTCGAGACCAGCCTGGCTAACTTGGTAAGACCTCATCTCTATAATAAAAAATAAATAGCTGGGTGTGGTTGCACAAGCCTGTAGTTCCGGCTACTTAGAAGGCTGAGGCAGAAGGATCGTCAGAGCCCAGTGGGTTGGCGCTGGGGTGACAGTGAGTGTGCCACTGCACTCCAGCCTGGGCAATGGAGTGAGACTCCAACTCAAAGAAAAAAAAAAAAGTGGACTGTAAAACCTGAAGGATGAGCAGAGTCATTAAAAAGAGCTTTTTTTAATTATAAAGATGTGGAGTACAATTCAGGGTTAGGTACACGAACATTGATTATGCAGGTACCCTTGTTGATTAGGTATGCCCCTCCATCCCCTAGTAGTTTTCCTCACCTGCCAATCCTACTCCCTTTCCCCTGGCCATTTCCCTCAATTGCTAATCCCTCTACTTCCCTGACGGTTGTCCACTATTGCCAATCACTTTCTTATAGTACTATAATTGTTCAAGTTCTGGTTATTAGTGAAAACATATGGTACTCTGTTCTTTGTTTCTGTGATAGATCACTGAGTATGATCAACTCTAAATCCATCCAAGTTGCTGCAAAATCCATATATTTGTCCTTCTTTATGGCTGCACAATATTCCATTGTGTATATGTACCACAATTTTTTTTATCCAGTCCAGCGTCGACAGGCAACATGGTTGGTTCCATGTGTTTGCTATTGTGAATAGAGTAGAACCATTTTTTTTTTTTTGAGTTGGAGTCTTACTCTGTTACCCAGACTGGAGTGCAGTGGCTGCTCCCGGCCACCGCAGCCTCGACCTGCTGAGCTCCGGCGATCCTTCCGCCTCAGCCTTCCGAGTAGCTGGAACTACAGGCGCGCGCTACCACGCCCAGCTAATTTTTTTGATTTATTTTGGAGATGAAGTCTCGCCAAGTTGCCCAGGCGGGTCTCGAACCCGCGAGCTTAGGCAATAGAACCATTTTTAAAAGATCAGAAGCCCAGTTCTGCTTCCTGGGTTCGAATTCAGAAATAAATCTCTTTCTACCAGTTTCCTGCCCCTTGATTTATTGATATCAAGGGAGAGCAGCCGAGTGTTACTTGGACCGTAACAAAATTAGCCACAAAAATCAAATTACATCAAATGGAATTGTGGAAAACAGGATATTGGGAAGATTCAGAGCTTGTGCTCACTGTTGATGACAGGGCAGAGCCCCAAAGGACCATGCTGTATTGGAGTGGGAATCTTACCCTCTAGTCATTTGCTGTTGTTGGAAGGGCAATGGAGGTAGATCCAAGATCCATGGCCCCTGGTATTGGATGGGTGATCTTGACCCGATCACATTACTGCGCAGAATCCCAGTTTTCATTCATGAAATGGAGATTTTAAAGGGTTGTTGTGAGAATTAACTGAGATAAAATAGGGAGAGTGCCTGGTGTACTGATTGTTCAATATATATCACCCGCATGAGTGGTAATGAATGATGGCAATCATATTAGCTCTTCTCACTACAAACAGAATTGACAAGAGGGATTAAAGATGGCAGTGCAGGGTGCCTGCCCCACATCTCAGCAGGGAACAGCCCTTGAAAGTCCGGTAGCTGGCCTAGGGGTGGTCTTATTGGAAAGGTAGGGGGACCCCTCTCTCCAACTGAATCCAGCACAGTCTCCAAAATTCAGGATGGGGGATGTCGACAGTGAGGACCATGCCAAAAGGCACTGGCTGGTCCAGGTACTGGGCAGTTCGTAAGACCAGAAACCCACAGAGAGGGACGCTGACTATTAAATGGTAGGATGGAGAGGGCTCAAAGCCCCTGGAGGCCATGTCTGCCCTGGGATAGGATGCTGGGGTGGGCCTCGAAGTTGAGCATGGGACTAGAGTGATTGAAACTTCTTGGACCTCATGCTGGAATGAGTTTCAGAACCCACTTCAGGCCAGCACACGTGTCACCAACATCTTTTAGATACCAGGGAAAAGCTGGGTGCCAGCCACCCAGAGCAGTGTCAGAAAAGACTCACATGTCTTGCAGGAGTTGGGGCGGGAGCCTGATGCAGACCAACACACATGGAATGGCACCGCTGGCAGAGAGAGCTGTCATGCGGTGGTGAGACCAGGGCTTAGAATCTCAGTTGCCACCACTTGCTCAAGATGGTGGCCTCCCTTCCCCACCTCCTTAGTGCCTAATATTCCTTCCTTTCAGGAGTGTTAAGTGGCTTAAATGACCTATGCATATTAAACATTTTGCAGATTGTTTTTTACAAAGTAGCACTCAATAAATGGACTTGATTATCATTCTGCTATTAGCAGATTTAGAACTGATTTTTTCTTAGGTTCCAATGGATGAACTTTTATTATATACCCCCATCAGTGACAACCCGGCAAAGTGGGTTTTTAATTTCCATTATGCAACTCACTTCCTATTACATTCTTTTTTATTTAACTCACATACACAGAATAATAGACCAACAACATGAAAAAAAAAAACAACTTATGCACAATCTTCAAGTTCCTTTATAGCTTTTTTTGCATATTCATTTCCATCCAATTAACTAATACATGTTGCACCCACATGTTCAGCCTCTGAGCAATTACTACACTTCACACTGCCTTCCAATACTGACTCAGTTGCATAGTAATAATTACACAGTATGTGCGTGGCATTTTATAGTCTAATCTTTTTATATAATGCTAGACATGCTCCCTTTTGGCTGGAGTTTATAAGTATCATCCTCAACTGTAGCATTGTATTCCACTTAGGGGATTTACTGTAATCTACTTCTTAATTTTTCCAACATTGGACATTAAGGTTGTTTTCCATATTTTGCTGGACTAGATTGCAAGGACGGTTGACCTAGGGGTGCGGAGAGCTGCTATTTCTAACTTGCTATCTGGGGTATATTCTAGAAGGTTGCAACATCTTCTGCTTGGCTCTCATGCACCAGCATGTATGCTTCGGCTCTCCATGTTGTATTATAGAAAGATACACAGTTCCTCCCTGACTGATGAATCATCGCACAGGGGCAGAATGCCTCGATACAGTTCTTTGTACTTTCTGTTACTTCCTGGATGTGGAACACAGTGGACGGGCTCGTTGCAGACATTATCAGGGAAGTCTCTTCCCTTGTTTACAGAAAGGGATGCCCAGCCCTTGTTAGGGATGTCATATTGATGTGTATTTTTTTCAACTGTGGAATTGAAAAATGTCGTTCTTAAGAATTTCATGTGGTGGGATCTGGCTTCTTTTCAAACTGTGACAAGCTGCGAAGGGCCCTATAGTCGTTTGATCTCCCAACATGAGATCATCATCTGCAACGTACCATATGCTTGTAAAGCGCACTTGGCCTTCGCTCTCTGGAGCAGTGTTCCAGGAAAGAAACCAGCGATTCCATGCTCATTACCTGTTTTCTGCCAGGCCCATGAGATACACACATGGGCATATGTTGGCCAAATGTCGGGAGGGAAATGGCTAATTACTATTGGGTTGATGCATGAGTTCCTAGTGTTTCACTTGCCCATGGAATGCAAATGTCACACGATGGTTGAGTGGTCACAGTGCATCAAATTTGCCAATTCTTGAGTTGACTGGCATGGGTCATTGTGGATTAAAGCGTTTAAACAGTCTTCAAAGCCTGATGGTCTTCCTGAACGTGGAAAATCACTCAGGTCAAAGTGGTCCTCTTTGAAACGACAGAATCACCTTCTTGCCATGCTTCCCTGTTGGCATTCTCCCAGGACACAGAGCAAATGTCTCGAGTCACCTCCGCTGCCTATACACCTTTGCTAGACTCAAACAGAGGACTATGTCAGAAGCGTTTTCTTCCCCTTGACACTTCATATGACCTCTTTAGCCCACAAATAGCACTGACTTTCTTCAAATCTGCAAACTGCGAGGTGTATTCACAAGCACACCATTGTCACGACAAATATGACCAACAGTACACAAACTCCCAACACCGTGGTGTTGCCAAGCCAAAAACAAACGTTACGAACTTATGCATGAACCTAACAGATGCCAGCGAAGCACAGCTTTACTTTACAAGGTCCAGCCTCGTTCCACTTAGGTAAAATTCATTGAGAAAGGAAATTCATTTGCTGCAGGAAACCTACAGCAATCGTCATGGGATTAAAAATCAGGCATTCCTCCCTCCTAGATGCGATACGGGGCACGTAGGTTTCCGCAGCACGAGCTTGTGATGACTTGCTTTTTATGACACGGTGACCATAAATCTCCTTTTATCTCAGGTTTCCAGATGCATTTGTGACCTTCAATTCCTTCCGGAGCAGGTTCCCCGAGGTGTCTGGGTATTGTCACTGTGCTGACAGCCAAGGGCGCGAGCTGGCTGAGACAGGTAAGTGACACACCCCAGGCGATCTGGAGGAAGGGCGTGCGATTCACCAGGCACGAGACTCTAAGTGTCATTGCCGGCAAAGCAGACTGCCTGCTCCCTTGTCAGTTGCTGTGGGTACTGAAGAGGATATGGCCTTGGCACTCCCATACCTGCTAGCCAGAATGGTGCCTTCGTGCACGCTGGAAAGCGGCACCTCCCCTCTGGACAGAGGCAGCCCTGAGTTTGCCCACTGGCACACAGGATGGATTTCAAGCTCTTATTCTCCAGGCAGTGTTCCTTTGTTTTGTGAACAACCTGAACAGCCATACACAGCAGCCCTGACTTCGAAAAGGAATCCAGTATTGTTCGTACCTGACGCACAATGATGTTGGTAAAGGCTGTGTCCCCTCTTGAGATCCGTTTACAAAGCAAGGCTAGGAATTCCTTTCTGAACGAGACTGTCTCTGAGATGCTTGCTGTCTCTCTGGCTCAGGTTTGGAGTTGTTGCTGGATGAAATTTATGACACCGTTTTTGCTGGCCTGGATCTTGCTTCTACCTTCACCGAAACCACCCTGTACCGGATACTGCAGAGACGGTTCCTAGCTGTTCAATTAGTCATCTCGGGCAGATTTCGATGTAAGTAATACGCTGTCCACGGACATGTGCGTGTGTGTCCGCTAGGGGGACACCCCTTGGACTTTCAAGTTGCTGCAGTCTTCGTTCCAGACTGTTCCAGCAAAGCGAATGGAGAGATTTTAAAGCTCTTAACAGCCAACAGCACTGCATGCTCTCCACTCGTCAGGTGATGCTTACACTGTCTCCTCCCTGACTATGTGGATTTCTCTAGGCCCCACGAAGTGTGAGGTGGAGCGGTTTACAGCAACCAGCTTTGGTCACCCCTACATTCCAAGCTGCCTCCGAAGCGGGAGGTACCAGGCAGTGCAGTGCCAGACGGAAGGGCCGTGCTGGTGTGCGGACGCGCAGGGCAAAGAAGTCCCCGGAACTCGGCGGCGAGGGAAGCCATCTTGTGGTGGGTTTCCTCTTGAGGGCTTTCCTCCTGGTCTCCTCAGGTCACAGTACTCTAATTTCTCCTCCAGATCAACCTCCAGAGACCCCACTGACTCAAATGCCTCCTGAATGTATCCCACAGGTCCTTCAATCTCCCCGTGTCCCAAGACTGGTATATTATCATTCACTTCCAACGCGGCTCTCACCCTGTGTTAGACACAGTTGCTTCCCCAAGCAGCTCAAGGAATCCTGGGGAGCTCACAGGTGAAGAAAGATAAATGAGAATTAAGTTGACATGTGCCATGAAAGAAGTATGTAAAGGCAATGCAGGGAGCATAAGGTGGGGGTGTGAATTCCTTCTTGCAGCATGTATGAGGGAGAGGAGCTTAAGAAGGCTTCGTGGAAGAGAAGACACTTGACCAGAGTCTTCTAACATGAAGATGTTTCCTGAAGGAGCAAAGTAAGGAAAGGTGTTCTCTATTTACGGTGCAGAAGAAACCAATTATAAGGACATGGATGATAGGCATTGGTATGCTAAAGATCCCTGAATCTGTAAGAAGTTTAGAAAGAAATTGCTGGAGTATAATTAAGGTGGTGCTCTGAACTTGAAGACCCAAGGAAAGGTGGGGGTAAGACAATGAGGTCTTTGTTATTATTATTGATCACAAAAAACCTTTGAGGGGCTTCATGCTGGAGTGTAGGTGAAGACATTGAGAGGTTTTAAGCTGGAGGGTGTCATGATGGGTAAATTCTGGAGAAGGGATAGAAAGGAGCATTAGACTAGACCAGAGGCAATGGGGTTCATGAGAAGGTTGTTGCAATGTTCTGAGCAGAGATAAGGGGTTCCGTATTCATTTCCTAGGGCTGTCATAATAAATCATCACAAGCAGGATAGTGTCGAACAACAGAAATCTATTATCTTACTATTCTGGAGGTTAAAGTTTCACCAGCAAGGTGTCAGTAGGCCTGTGCTCTCTCTGAAGCTCTAGGGTGGGCTTCTTCCTTGCCTGTGATGATCACCAATAATTCTTGGCATTCTTTGGTTTTTGGCAGCAAAACGACTATCTTTGCCCTCATTGTCACGTGACTGTCTTCCCTTCGGGTCTGTCTCTGTGTATCTTCTCCTCTTCTTATAAGAAGACTCTCCATGTTGGATTAAAAACCTGCCTAATCCAATGTGACCTCGTTTTATTTAACTAAGGCCATATTCTGTGGTTTTGGGAAGGAACACTACTCAATCCATATGGGGACCAAGAATAAATCAGAAACAGTGGGAGACAGAACTATCACTAAGCATTCCAGCAAGAACCCGTTTCATCTAACCAGGGATGTGAGATTTGGAAGGATGTTAGTGATGAGGAAGAAGGAAAAATCCAGAAGCCCTCACAGGTGTCCAACTTGGATAGGCTGAGGATATTCAGAAAGATTGAGACAGTGAAAAAGAAATGCAAGGCTTTTTGTAGCTTCAAAATAGATACGTACTGACATTCATTCAATAATTCCTGTGAAATCATTCCATTTCTCCCACTTAACATTTTGGATATTCTGTGCGGTGTTTGGTGGCATTCTATCTGCTAAGTGTGAGAGTGTCCAAAAAAAAAAAAAATTGGAGGCCCTGCCTTGGAGATATTTACAACACGTTTTAGTTCTATTAAAACCTAGAGAGCACTGTGGCCTCTAACTTCCAGGTGGAAACGAAGTAGTATGTCTTTCCAAGTTGAAAACAATAAATAGCTCCATCAAATGCATGGACGGGTTGTATATTTTTACATCTTCTCTCTGGTGTGTCTGTCCTATTTCTGTGCAGACAAATTCCACATGGAAACGCTATCTGCATTTCTTTGCCTTGGTAACGCTCCATAACAAATGGTTGGAAGGGGTCAGCTCTTAACCTGGAAAGAGCAGAAGGAAACTGCGAGCTTTATTTCTTTCATACCTTCCTGGAATATCCATTAGAGGAGGCCATGGCCTTGTCAGGGGATGTGTTAGGTACCCGGATGCTGCCAATCTCCTACCCCACCCCCACCACATTTTCCAGTTCTTTCTCTGTTGCCTGGATACAGAAGGAAATTGGCTGACTTTCTTTTTGGCATCCATGTGAATCGAGAGGGAAAAAAAATTACTTTAAAAGTTGGGGGAGGGGTGGGTGGTTTAAAAGAGCCTTTAAGGTTTATGATTTTATGGGGGAAAAAACAAGCTTTCTTACTTCCACCTGGGTAACTGAGACAGTCACTTGGCATTGAACTAGTACATTTGTTTTGCCTTTAATGTGATTTCAGTCAACCTGGGACGTATATAGATAGAATGACCTGACCATGCATAGAGTTGGCTGACTTGATCACTGTTTAATTAGCAATTTCAAGGAAAGGTCAATTAGCCCAGTAGAATGTGCTAGCCCAAAACATGTTAGCTGGGTGGGCATTATTGGATTATATTATAGAAAATATGTCTTATTACAGGAAACACTAGGAACATTTAAAGTACAGTTCTTGCCCTTAGAGAGGCTGCAGCTAGCCAGGCAAGACTACCCACAAAGAGAAATTAGGTGGTCACACCCATAGCATATAGTGAAGCATTAAAGTCCACTAAGAATTCCAACAAGAGACCAGGCACAGCGGCTCATGCCTGCAATGTCAGCATGTTGGGAGGCTGAAGCAGGAGGATTTCTTGAGCCTAGAAGTTCGAGACCAGCCTAGGCAATAGACCTATCTCTACAAAAAAAATTGTTGAGCATGGTGGCACATGCCTGTAGTCCCAGCTACTTGGGAGGCTGAGGAAGATGATCACATGAGTCCAGGAGGTTGAGGCTACAGTGAGCTATGATCATGCCAATTCACTCCAGCCTGGGTGACAGAGTGAGACCCTAGCCAAAAAAAAAAATCCAAAAAAGAATGGTGGAAAACAATATTTAATTAAATATAAATGGGAATTTGTTGGTATACTAGTTTTCTCCAGCTACTATAACAAATCACCACAAACCAGGTAGCTTTGAACAACAGAAATGTATCCTTTCACAGGAGGGAAGCCAAAATAATGAAGGCAGAACCATGCTCTCTTGAAGACTCTGGGAAAGAATCTCTCCTTTCCCCCTCCTGGCTACTGGTAGTTGCTAACCTTCCCCGGCATTTGAGCACATCACTCCAGTCTGTACCTCTGTCCTCATGTGGTCTTTTTCCTCTGTCTCTCTGTGTCTTTTTATAAGGACATCGGTCATTGGATGCAGAACCTACCCTAAGCCAGCATGACACCATCTTCACTTGATTACAACAGCAAAGACCCTGTTTCTAAACAAGGTTGCATTCTGAGGTTCTGGGTAGACATGCATTTGGGTGGCAGGCACAATTCAACTCAGGACAGTTGTTGAATGTGGTCAGATTTACAGAAAGTGGACCAGGATCTGTGAGACTTGCTCTAGATGGGACTGGCCCCGGGTGGAAACTGATGAAGTGCTCTTGTCTCCTGGAATGGTCACTCCCCAAAATGGTCCCTGTGGAGGCAACTCAGAGGAAAAGGAAGGGCAAGAGGATACACAAAGAAGCAAGTGGTTGCAGATATAGGTGTCCTTGATTGAATTTTTGGCATCATACTCCCAGAAAGATCTAAGGGGCTGTCTCAGAATTGCCTGTGATGCTAAAACCATTTCTCCCATTCTGCTCTGTCCCATGCAGCTGAAGATCAGTCTTGTGCCTCTGAAAGGCTACAGGCCTTGTCCAGACTGTACTTCGAGACCTCGGGCACCCTTAGCCAGCAAGACCAATCCTCTCCTCCTGAGAGAAGACGGGCCTCCACGAGAGTGGCTGGATTTGCCACTTCCTGCCCACCCGTGATCAAGGAGCTCTTTGTTGACTCCGGGCTTCTCCGCCCAGTGGTGGAAGGGCAAGTCCAGCAGTCTTCTACCTCGGAAAGTCTCCTCCAAGAAGCCATCCAAGCAATTTTTCCATCCCGAGAGCTAGTCCGTCTTGCCCTTCAGTTTACCACCAACCCAAAGAGACTCCAGCAAAATCTCTTTGGAGGGAAATTTTTGGTGAATGTTGGCCAGTTCAACTTGTCTGGAGCCCTTGGCCCAAGAGGCACGTTTAACTTCAGTCAATTTTTCCAGCAACTTGGTATCTCCGGCTTCCAGGACAGAGAGAGACTGGAAGACCTAGCCAAGCCTCTCTCTGCAGCACTGGATTCAAATTCCTCCACAGAGACCCCCAAAGCCTCTAAGAAGGGTGCTGCTATGAATAAGCCCATTGTGGGCAGCTTTGGCTTTCAAGTTAACTTACAAGAGAATCAAAATGCCCTCCGATTCCTTGCTTCTCTCCTGGAGCTTCCAGAATTCCTTCTCTTCTTGCAGCATGCCGTTTCTGTGCCAGAAGACATAGCAAGAGATTTAGGTGATGTGATGGAAGTGGTGCTTAGCTCCCAGACCTGTGAGCAGACACCTGGAAGGCTATTTGTCCCGTCATGCACGGCAGAAGGAAGCTATGAGGATGTCCAGTGCTTCGATGGAGAGTGCTGGTGTGTGGATTCCCAGGGCCTAGAGCTCCCTGGTTTGAGAGTCAGAGGTGGACGACCGAGGTGCCCCACAGAGTGTGAGAAGCAGAGGGCTCACGCACAAAGCCTCATGCGTAGCCAACCCACCGGGTCCAAGTTGTTTGTCCCTGCTTGTACTAGTGAGGGGCACTTCCTACCTGTCCAGTGCTTCATCTCAGAGTGCTACTGTGTTGACACGGAGGGTCGGGCCATTCCTGGAACTCGAAGTACAACTGGAGAACCCAAGCAATGTAAGTCTGTTGAGTATTCAGTTTACAGACGTTCTGAGTCTCTCTTTAGGCCTTGACCCCAAATGCGCCTTCGTGGCTAAAGCCTAAACTTCACTTAGTGGCAAAAGTATCTGCTGAAATGAAAAATTGTCCAGGAATGCCTGGATAATGTCACCCATTCTAAGTGAAAAGGGAGATTTTTTCCGGCCTTTAAGAACTGTCACCTATGTTTCTGGAGTGCTGACCAACAGCTGGTCTCATCAGTGCACCCCAATTTAGTCATGGGGTGCTGACTGTCTAGGTATTACTTACAGATTTAAGGTGAAAAGGATTTCTATGACTAAGGAAGATTTTAGACAGAGTTTGGACTGTTAAGTGGTTTCATCTTGGTCTTTCCTGCTGATTACCTTTCTTAAACTGAATCACCTGTACATTGTTTTCTCCCCAGGCCCCACACCTTGTCAGTTACAGGCTGAGCATGCTTTCCTTGCGACGGCGAGGGCCCTGCTGTCCAATGCCAGTATGCCACCCGCCCTCTCCAGAATCTACATCCCGCAGTGTGGCGCCAATGGGCAGTGGAGACACGTGCAGTGCGATGGGCCCCCCGAGCAGGTCTTCGAGTGGTACCAGCGATGGGGGGCTCAGAACGACAGCCAGGCGCTGACCCCTGCCCAGCTGCTCATGAAGATCCTGAGCTACAGAGAAGCAGCTTCTGGAAATTTCAGTCTCTTTATCCAAAGTCTGTATGAGGCTGGCCAGCAAGGTGTCTTCCCAGTGCTGACACAATACCCTTCTCTCCAAGACGTCCCCCTAGCAGCGTTGGAGGGGACCTCGGCCCAGCTCGGGGAGAACATCCTCCTGGAGCCCTACCTCTTCTGGCAGATCCTGGATGGCCAACTCAGCTGGTACCCAGGGCCCTATGCAGACTTCAGCACTCCGTTGGCGCACTTCGACCTCCGGAACTGCTGGTGTGTGGATGAGACTGGCCGAGAAGTGGAAGGAACGCGGGCTGAGCCGAGCAAGCTCCCAGCATGTGAGTGAACTTATATGACGAGCTGAATCTGTGTGTGTGTGTGTGTGTGTGTGTGTGTGTGTGTGCGCGTGTATGTGTGTATTTAAAGGATGTCTAGTGGAAGAGCATCGAGTGTTGTAATGCGGCAACCCCAAAACAGAGAGGGCTTGTGCACAAGATTCTTTACATATTCCAAAGACGTCACCAAGATGTCCATCAGGGAAAGACATTGGTTGATTAGAACTTGCAGGGGGCACCGATGGCAGCCAGTCGGTGCTGAAAGAATCCATGCTTTGGGGCAGTATAGGCAAGCAGGTCAGTTAATCAAATTCCTCTCCCGTGTTTACCATGACATTGATTCCATATTGCTTTCAGCTCTACTGAATTACCTGCACCCTGTGACTCGTTCCTGGGAATATGCATGTCCTTCAAGGGCCAGCCTTGACCAGGGGTCGCTCCCAAGGGAAGTGGGAGGGGGAAACGGTCCATGTCCAGACCATACAGCACAAGTGTCGAAACTGGAATGGAGTTTAGAGGGGACTAAGCAAACCAAGGTTCCTAGAGGAAGGAGGTGACCTCCCTGCATTTACACAGTCAGGTGTTGGCAGGATTGATAGAGGACATTGTAAAATTTTCGTATAGTTGATTATTTAAATCAATACCTTAGATTTTTTTTTTTACTGGATGTCTTCTGTGAGCAATGCATCGTCTTAGAGCCAATGGATGCTGCAGAAGGGAAAACGAGCTGCCCTTGTCCTCCTGTAGCTACTCTTTAGGGCTGTCTCATTCATCAGGTGCACCATTCAATGTATCACCAAGTCTTCTGGTGATCGTGCTACTTGAGCAGAACACTGCTAGGTGCCTGCGACCTCTGGAGGGTGCCATTCGAGTGGTTCTAACTGGCTCAGAGGAACCTAATTAAGGGACTCATTGGAGGGCCCCTGCTGGAGGTCTGTGAGTTCAGCTTTGTGACAGATAGACTTACAGGAAAGTCACAATGGCATCCGTAGCAGGGAGCTGACCCCGAGTCTTCCAGTAAATTGACTTATTCTCAAATAGTCATCACAACAGCTTGAAAGAAAACCAGGCGGGTTCAGCACCACTGTGATCAGGCCAGACTCTCTCCAACCAGCCACTGCTAATATCACTGATAATGTGGCATCTGTTCCAGCCTAGTGAAATCTCTCAATTCTTTGCCATGTTCAATATTGTCTGGACCTTCCTGGATAATGTTAAAATTTTTCAGACTATTTTGATATTAGCAACATTTTAGACTTTAGAGCTAGTGGCTATTTAGAATGCTGGGCATGAGGACCACATGATGGGATGGTAATGCTCTTGGCATTTTGAACAGCCTGGAGACCGCACTATTATTAGGATTCTCCAGTAAAATCTCAATTCCCAGTAATGGAACCCCCCAAACCAACACACTGAAGTGTGCCTGACTGTTATGTAAGAAGTCTTATTTATTTCTATGAGACCTGTAGAATCATTCTTCCTACTAATGGTCAAGTCTCCCACATGGGGACATCCCTGGGATTCTCAATGCACTAAGACTGAATTGAGTCCTCTATCGCGCAATTTCAGGGGCCTGCATTGTTGACATCAAAAGTACCTGGTAACTTCAGTGACTAGTCTTATTCACCTTGGTGGGATTGCTGAGCAGAGTATTAAAACCAGACTTCAAATACTTGACTTTTTCACTTAGGCTGTGTAGACAGCCTTGTGTCCATGATCACCTGTGAGGGAGCAAATCTTAGATCATCCCCTTTCACTCAGTTTATATTTCATCTCTTCATTTCACAATTCTATTTTTGTTTTTGAAATTTAGCATTAACAGCTGGAATAGCTGGTATGTTATTATTGTCATGGTACATGTATGTGCAATATACAGGAATACCCATATTTTGGGGGTGCCCATTCAAACGCCTTTGTTGATCAGGGTTTGGTTTGGTTACTGGGGATTCAGAACCTGGATACCCACAATATGGTCCAGTGATACTGGCATTCCCTTGGGAACTTGTTCAAGATTCATGACCTTGGGCCCCACATACTGAATCCACACCTGCTTGTTCATGGTATTCCCAGAGGAATCCAGCACCTCCAAAGCCTCAAGAAGGATTGGTCTGGAGGGCAGGACATGAGGTGTCTTGACCCCTGGCTCTGCCATCGACTGCCGTATAACCTAAAGAGGGTAACCCTCTGAGTGTTAGTTTCCTCTGTAAAATCTGAGTTCTGACACTTAACTACCTCCAAGGCATGTGGGGAAAATTCTAAAAAGTAATAGCTGTGAAGGGCTGCACCTGGCCTATGGGAAGTAATTGATCAATGGTAGCTGAATTGATGCAATTGATCCAGTGAATAATGAAGTGAACAACGAAAGACCAATAACTCCCTAAATGTATGCAGGGATGATGGCTCAGATGCTAGTTCCTGCGGCCATCCCCATGTGACTTGTTTGCAGTTTTGCTTTCTTCATTGAATGTGCATTTAGGAACCACCCACTGTGTACACTTTGCTGTTACGAAAAGCCATGAGAAGCTCAGAGACCAGTGGAGAAAACAGAGATATTATCAGGAAAATAATAAACAGCCATGGTGGGACAGAGTATGCACATGGAAAATACAATGGCTGGCTCCCAGAGAATGGAGCTACTAAGCCATGGAAGGTTGGCATAAAAGTTAGCTTGGTGCCAGGTTCTGGGATGAATCTCGAGAGGTGTTTGTCCACAAAATGTGGCAAAAACTTTCTAACAGAGCACCGAGTCAGGGGAGCTGCAAAAGGTCTATTGTGTGGGAGAGTGGACAGGGGAAGGTTATTGTATAATAGTAGGAAGGGAGGGGCTTCCGAGGGAATGGCAGAAGGAGGGAGGTGTGGAAGGTGAATTGGAGTCAGATTTGGAAAGATCTCATGTGCCCAGTTTATCATTTTATCCTGAAAGAAGCAGGGAGCAAGCCGAGGTTTTATTTATTTATTTATTTATTTATTTATTTATCTATTTTTGAGTTGGAATCTCACTCTGTCGCCCAGGCTGGAGTGCAGTGGCACGCTTATGGCCACCACAGCCTTAACCTGCTAGGCTCAGGCAGTTCTTCTGCATCAACCTTCCAAGTAGCTGGAACTACAGACACGCACAACTATGCCCGGCCAATTTTTTGATGTACTGTAGAGAGGAGGTCTCGCCAAGTTTCCCAGGCTTGTCTTGAACCCTTGGACTCAGGTAATCCTCTCACCTCGGCCTCCCAAAGTGTTGGGATCACAGGCTTGAACCACTGTGCCCGGTCAAGCCAAGGTTTTTAAATGTGAGATTTTGCTGGGTGGGTTACAAAGCCCTGGGTTTAACATAATAGGTGATTTGATCAAGAATATCCATGTGAACAAGAAAACAATAATGTCTTCAGATTCCAGAAGTCAAAGGTTTCTACTGATCACACGCTCTCAAAAAAATCTACCAAGTGCCTCCAGTGCTGAATTCATGAGGAGACGGTTGAAAAAATCTGGTAAGGGTGGCTTTTGCTAACAGTGACAATTATAAGGACAGCATAAGCCAGACGCCGTACCTCCTACTTCGGCTGCAAGACCTCACAGGATCATTCCAAAAATTCAGGCAATAGATTCCCAAGTTTTCCCACTGCCTGGGTCAGGAAACTGAAGCTCAGAGACATTTAGCACATTATCCATGGTCAAGTGAGCCTTACAAGTGATGAAACAGTTGTGTGTGTGTGTGTTTTTATGTGTGTGTGGTGGAGGTATGTGTGTGTCTGTGTGTCTGTGTGTGGGATGTGAGTATTTATGTGTCTGTGTGAGGTGTGTGTTTGTTTATGTGTCTGTGTGAAGTGTGTATTCGTGTGTGTGTGTGTGTGTGTGTGTATGTGTGCGGGTATGCATGTGTCCACATGTGGGTGTGTGTGCATGTGTTCACATGTGGTGTGTATGTGTGTGTATGCACATGTGTTCCAGGGTACCGAGGCTGCCCCATGTGGCAAGTGACTCCACCCGTGACACTTTCTTGCCAGGCCCTGGCTCCTGTGAGGAGGCAAAGCGTGGTGCTCTGCAGTTCATCCGGGAAGCAGAAGCAATGGCCACGGTGTCCAATGGCTCCTGGGTCCCCCTGGGAGAGAGCTTCCTGGCGGCCAAGGGCATCCGGCTGACTGGCGAGGAGTGGGACCTTCGCGGGCCCCTCCCATCGTGGGATGCTCTCTCAGAGAAGTTTCTGCGTGCGGGTGACTATGCCCTCCGCCTGGCGGCTCAGTCCAGTGAGTGCTACGCTCCCTGGGTTCTTCTCCCTGTCTCTAGGGAGGCAAGCACTTCAGTGAGTCCTCAGCTGCCATATGGGGGGCAGGTCCTGAGAAGGAAGAGGGGAAGGGTTCTGTGAGACCCGCAAGGCTGGAATGCTGCATGTGTCTCCAGTGCATGCCCAGATGTCCCAGCGGAGCCACTCCAGATGGCACCTGCAGCCCCCACGAGCCACACATTCTTGATGAAATGTGAGGGTCTCAGTCTCCCAAGGCTCGTGCAACCCCCATGGCTTGTTCCCAAGCCTCCTCCATTCCCAAGGCTTCAGAAACACTACAAAGGGGGCGGGAGAGGCATCCTCTCTCCTGAGGAACTGTGACATATGTGATCTCATCTCATCTAACCCTGATGGTGATACCCAAGGGTGCACATGATGTCCTGTACAGCACAGAGAAACAAGCTCAGAGAGCCCGCCGTCCTCCAGACCAGAGTAGCAGCTAGATGATACTCAGACCTTACCTTGACCAGGCACTAGCTGTGCTAAGTGTATAACCGGGGCTGCGTGTTTGATCCTCTTAGGTTCTGGGGGAACGCTGCTATAACCACCATCCACAGCTCTTTGCAAATGGGGAAACTGAGGGTCAGGTTCAGTCATTCACCTGAGTTCCTCCAGCTAATGATTAGTGGGGCCTGGATGGGAAGCCTGGCAGTCCAGTCCTTGAGCCCAGGTGCTCAGCTTGGTGACCCCAGGTGCCTGGATCTGTCTCATCCCTGAGTCCTTGTCCCTCCCTCACGGCCCCACAGCTGCCCTGGTGGGAGGGCCCAGTCCCCTCCAAGTGCCCTGGCTGACTCCACCTCAACCTGACAAGGACACGCACGGCGTCTGTCTCTGAACCTTCCCCGGGTTCTCCATTTTTCTCAAGTTTTCTCTGGCTAGTGTTTTCTGCGTTTGGGTTATCAGGGGGGCAAAGCAGTCCCCCCTGATAACACCTGCTCCTGTCAGAGGATCACTCCAGCAGTCTGCCCCTCCCTTCTCATGGCTGGGGTGTCTGCTGCTGGCTTGGTGCTGGGCTCAGCTGTCCCTGTGCTCCTGACCCCACGTGGGAATCGTCTGAGGCCATCTCTGTTTCCTGCTTTTTCTGCACCCGACGTCTCTTCTGGAGGACAAGAGGAATCAGACTGGGGCATGGGGAAACCAAGCCCAGCGTCTGTGTGTCCTGCCCACTGCCCACCCTCTCCTCTTCTCTTCCTCACATCTCCACTGTTTCTTCCCCACCCCCACCCCACCCCCGCTCAGTTGCTCCCGGAACACTTCTATGAGCCGGGCAGTGCTCTGTATGCAAAATAAACACAGATCCCTTTTTCATCTTGACGCCCCTGGTACCTGTCACAGTGCCTGATGCCTAGGAGGGGCTGAGTCTGTGGTGAAGAGCCATCCTGCGGCTTCCTCCTCCGTCTTCCTTTCTCTTGTGTCTGCTCCCCTTATCCTACGGTCAGGCACCTCTGTCCTCTGTTCCTCAGAGCCTTGGGGACTTCCGCTTTTGACAAGAAACTCGTTTTAAATCTGTGTGTGGCTGGGAGTTGATGCAATCAGAGAGGGAAGTGGGACAGATGGCCCTTCAGCGGTGACCACATTGGCCAGGGCGGGAAACGCAGAGAAAGGGGAGAGAATGTTGTCAGCGACACAGAGATTAGTCACTGTGCAGCACGGTGGCATTTTCTTCAGAAGTCAAGCTGAGAAGTTCCTCTCTGACCAGCCACAGGCTCGGATTTTGCATGTCTGGGGTTGTAGAGAAAAGAGGAAGACTCCGTAGAGAAGGACCAGAGCTGGTCTTTTCTCCAAGAGTTTGGGGAGGGAGGGCCCAGGATAAGACGAAGCTGAGGCCCATTATGTGTCTTGGCCAACAGAACGTGGTGGCCGGGTCCCAGAGTCTAGCGAGGGTAGTGGGGGAGTATGGGAGTAAATGCTCACAGCTGTGCCTGGCGTGAACTTAGTGCTTAATGCCCATCAGTCTTTTTGATATAAATATCACACCTACCCTGTTAGGTAAGTATTCGACCCATTCCCCAGATGAGGAAACTGAGGCTCAGAGAGGTTAGGCAACTTGCTCATGCTCACACAGCTAAGAGATGCAGCCAGGATTCGGGCAGAGGTTTGTCAGACCCAGAGCCCTGGCCACTGTACCGGGCTGCTTCAAAGGTGCTTCTTGGTGTCCCCAGATGGGGTCTGACCTTATGTCTGCAATCTCCATACATCTCATTAAATGGAGCCACGGTGCCCATTTCTGAAGGGGAGTGAGCCGGGGAGAACTGCCCCAACGTGCCTCATGCAACAGGGCTGGCCCAGATGGGGCCGTCTCAGATGGGGCCATCCTTCTCTGTGGCCTGCCTCTTCTCATGGACCTGAATTCACATCAGTTCTATATGGAAGTTATTGCAGAGGTTTACAGAGATTCTTTCAATCTCCAGCCTAAGTGTCATTTTTAAAAAAATGAGTCAGGGTCTCTGTTGCCCAGGCCGGAGTGCAGTGGCACAATCACAGCTCACCACAGTCTTGACCTCCTGGGTCAATCAAATAATCCTCTCGCCTCAGCCTCCTGGGTAGCTGGGACTGCTAGAGTGTGCCATCATGCTTGTCTAGTTTTTATTTTTTTATTTTTACCTTTTGTGGAGATGAGGCCTCATCGTGTTGGCCAGGCTGGTCTTGAACTCCTGGCCTCAAGCAATCCTTCTACCTAGGCCTCCCAAAGGGCTGGGTTTCCAGGCATGAGCCACCACACCCGGCCCTAAATGTCAGTCTTAAAGGACAATCTGTGGAGTGCCTACCCACCGTTCAAGGAGCCTCTGCCATATTTTGGGTTGAGATGTTTGTCCAATGAATCAGAAGGCCTCCTCTGTCAGAACAGGAATGTATTTGGTTGTCCTTGGTGACAGAGCCTGCACAGGGCAGGTGGTTACATTCTGCTTTCTCCTTCCCCCGCTCCAGCCTTCACCTTCTATCAGAGACACCGCTTTTCCCTGGGTGATGCAGCTGAAGCCTCTGCTCTTCTGTCATTGGGTCCCTACGTGCCACAGTGTGATGGATTTGGAAGTTGGGAGCCCGTGCAGTGCCACGCTGGGACTGGTAAGCCGGGATGGACACCCCCCTCTTTTTTTATTTTTTTGAGAGGAAAGAGACCCACGTGGGAGGCAAGCAGATCAGACACTCCAGGTTCTCTTCGACTGCTGGGGACAAATCCTTGGCTTCTCTGGCCTTCCGGTCATCTCACCCATGTCCCAGGAGCAGGAATCTTCAACCAGCCTGAAGGTCAAGGGGTGGTGGCTGGGGTGTCTTGGAGCTGAGACCTGTGACTGCGGACAGTGTCCAGCAGGGGCTCAGGTCTGAGGGACAGGGAGGTGATCCTGCTTGCACTGTTGGAGCACCAGGGAGAAACATAGTTCCCGGGACACTCGGGAGCAAGTCCCCAGGGCACTAGCTGAGCTCCCGGTCTGGCTCTTTTCTAGGGCGTTGCTGGTGTGTGGATGGGAAGGGAGACCTCATCTCTGCCTCGCTGACTGCCCGCTCTCAGGTCCCTCAGTGTAAGTGAAGCCCACAGAGTTTTCTCCCCGGGTCCCCAGCAGTGGCCACTCGAGGCTGGTCCCGCCAGCTGTGGCCACCCACCCGCAGAAGGTTCCATGGCCCAGCCCTTTAACCGGCCCCCAGACCTAGAGGCTCGAGGTGACCTTGGGTCTTCAAGTTGATACTCCCTGGTTCTTCACCCTGAGCCAGTGCCCTGGGCAGTTTCAGCCTCTCCTGTGGTTTCATCTGAACTTCCAGCCCCAGCTCAATTACAGAGGGGAAACTGAGGCATGGAGACATCATGTCACTTACACAGGCTCCCAGCCAGCAAGCAGCTGATTCTGAATCCCAGTCTAGACGGTCTCACTCTGGAAGCCGTGATCTTGCCTGGCTGTCTTTAATGGAAGGGACAGACGGCGGGGGGTGGGGGTGGGGGAGGCTCGGCTTTGGAGTCTGTGGTCCACTTGACAACTCAAAGCTGGTGCACCCCATGTGGGTGTTTGTCCTTGAACTGAGCCTGTCTTCCCTGAAGTTCCAGCTCTCTGTGAAGGGCACCTCCATTCACCCAGATGCAGGCTCGGAAACTCAGGGTCAGCCTGGGCTCCCCATCTTCCTTCAGCTCCCATGGCCGGTCCATCAAGAGCACCCCTCTCTGTTCCCCAGGCCCCACGACCTGTGAGAGATCTCGAACCAGTGGACTACTTTCCAGCTGGAAGCAGGCTGGGTCCCAAGACAACCCATCTCCAAAAGACCTGTTCATCCCAACATGCCTCGAGGTAGGCCTCCAAGGGTGTGGGAGGGGAGTCAGGACTTGTTTTCTCTAGTTTTTCAACCCATATGGTATCGTTAAAAACTCAAATGGAATTCTCATGCTGGTGTTTGTCCTGGACCTGGTAGACCTTGACTGTGTGACCTTGGGCACTCTACCTTTTCTGTGCTCCAGTTTGTTTAATTATAAGATCAGGTCACATTTTGTCCGATCTAGTGCTAGGATTGTGTGGAGACTACAAGGAAATATCTTTCATGAAAACTCTGAAAAATAATCGAAATGTGCACAGTTGCAACCATGTTTTTCCTAAAGTCATCTTGGCTGGGATGTTCTCTGTCCTAGATTCTCAATGTAGATGGAGGACATCACCTCATTTCACTCCCCAGCCTCGGATATTGCACTCATTCATAGCTTACTCAAGCCCCGATGTAACAGCTCTCAGAGAAAGGATTTATGCCCAGAATCCTAACACAGACATCTCTGGGTCTCAGTTCCTTTCCCTAACATAGGGATGACAGGGGTACCCCGACCTACTCAGCTCCCAGGGACCTTATGAAAATCAGATGAAACCAGTACTATCGAAGCCCATGAAACTGTAGAGTGCTGAGCCAAAGTTTCCTTATTATCGTTGTTTAGTGCTATGATCCTAGTCCCCAGTTACAGATTCGTTTTGTAGAGAACTTAGTGAAAATGGTTTACTCTTTCATTTCAGCTGACCAGCACCTGCTGTTGGGATACAATGCTCTGTTGTTCTGGGCACTGACGCTCGCTCAGAAAGAAGGGGAGGGTATAGCCTCTGGGGGCAGGAAGGTGGCAGAGTGTCTCAGAGCAGGACTCAGAGGCACTCTGAGTGCATGGGCCTTAGCCCAACCTCTGTGGAAGACACAGTGCTGGTAACTTCACCCAACCCCCTTGGGAAATGTTAGGTTAGTAGTTAGAATATTCTCCAGGTTAAGACTTGATCCTGTGAAATGTTCTCAGGCCTTTGCTTGGGTTTGAATCTCCCCTCTACAGCATCATCGATTCCCTCTGGGTCTTTATGTGAAATGAGGACAGTGGGGTCTCCAACCGTGGGGTACTGTGCGGATTGAATGCCACACTCAGGGTGGTCGAATGATTCACACAAGGAGAGCCTCACGGTTGCGTTCTCTGTACATGTTGGACGTCACAGTTATTGTCATTGCTTGTCTGCAAACAAGGCACGACAGATTATAAACTGGACAAGTGCCAGACAAATACTTAGAAGCATCCAGCGTCAGCATACCTATGTGGGCTTATGATTTTCAGATACTAAGTAGAGAAGACATTTCCTACCATGGAGGGAGTTCCTAGAAGGAACATGCCCGACGAGAGGCATTGCTCGGTGGATTTTTAGACGGGGAAACCAAGGGTGAGGCCCAGAGGTGGAGCAGGTGGGCCAGGCCAGAGAGGAAGGGGCTGACCCCTCCAAGCATAGTTTCCACAGGCCCAGCCAGACATCGGGCTTGGGTTACTGCCTAGCACTGGGTCTTTGTTCCCTGGGATGGATGCTTAGAGCCTTCTCCTAGGGCTGCTCGCTGAGATCATTTCTGGAGTCAGCAAGGTTTGTTCCGAGTGGCTGGGCTTTGAGTTTGGACCCCGGCCCAGGCCCGCTTCTTACTTACCAGCCATGGGGTGTTACTCTCCAGCTTTCCCACTCTGAGTGAGTCTCAGTTTCTCCCACCCTAAAATGGGCTCACTGCCATTCTTGCCTTGTGAAGTGATCACAACCATTCATCAAGTACTCTACCTGAAGCTTTGGGGACAGGAGAGCACCTCTCCCCAGCCCACCTCCCTCCCTCTGGAGAAGCTATCACCCGTGGGTATGGAAGGGACATGTCTGACATCTGTCCACCGTCAAGTTGGGTCCATGGGTGTCTTGTCCATGGCAACTGACATGATCTCGGCTTTGTCTCAGACAGGAGAGTATGCCAGGTTGCAGACGTTGGAGGCTGGCCCCTGGTGTGTGGACCCCACCTCGGGAGATGGGATGCCGGCGGGTTCCAACAGCAGCACCCAGTGTGAGTGGTCACCCCGCCCAGCAGTTTTGCCCACCCCCTCCCGGGAGCACTGGCTGTGGAGTCCCAAGAGCCAGTTTCATGTCCCAGATCTGCTACTTCCATAGCTTCCCCCACTTCAGGGGGGTCTTGCAAGAAGCCGACACGGCAGGGGCCAGGCTGTGCTTTGTGATGGGGTCCCCACAAAAGGCGCTGCTGGTGCTTTGGAGGGTTGACTCGCTTCATGGTGCTGGTACCCAACAGACTCCTTCTGGCCCTAGGCTTCCACAGCGATGTCCCAAAAGCACTCCGTGCTGATGTTCCCTTCTGCCCAAAAACCATGAAAGTGCCGTGGTCCTCAGGGCCACACTCAAGCTCCCGGCGTGATTCGGGGCCCATGCAGCTGGCTCCTCTATTGCTTTTGGCTTCTCCATCTCTTACACTTTGGAATCCAGCTCTAATAAATTCCAGTCAGACTTTTGAAGAAAGCAAACGCTCTCTTCCGCTGAGCCTTCACACATTCAGGTTCTGCTACCTGCAACCCATGCATCCATCCCCTGCCCAATATCCCCTGACTGGTTCCCACCCAGACCACACTCCAGGAAGCCTCCATGGGCCTCCACTGTGAGTCCAGCCTCTCCTCCTGCTCCTGTACTGTGCTGTTATTGCAGTATCTCACAGAGCTGTCCTGCTCCCTTGCTTGCTAAATCTCCCATGAAACCCTATGTACGCTCCTTGAGGGCAGGCAGTGGAGGGTGAGGGAAGAGGACAGAACTGAGCCGGGCCCAGTCTTTGCTCTGTCATAGCTCCGTATCCCAGTGGCGTGGCAGCCCTGGACCCCCAGGAAGCCCTCTAGGTGTGGGGAGAGCACATGGGCACCCCGCAGGAAGCAGGAACTTACCTGGCTTATCTTCATGCCAAGGCCCAAGCATCTGCAGTGTGCTCCAGAGTGGCGCGCTGTCCAGGACAACTGGCCCTGGCTACATCCCAGCCTGCGGGGAAGAGAATGGAAGCTTTTCCCCAGTGCAGTGCGACCTGGCCCAGGATAGCTGCTGGTGCGTCACGGGCAGTGGACAAGAGGTGCCCGGGACCCGTGTGGCCGGGAGCCAGCCTGCTTGTGAGAGTAAGTCAAGACCCCCCAGAGGGACCATGGGGCCTGTACCTCTCGCCTTTTACCCAGGCTGGTGGGCTTCCAGGGACGCTGGGCCCAGGGCATGGGAGGGAAGAGAGGAAGCACAGAAGGGAGGGAGTTGCTACTGGCTTCCATGGTGTCCATTCTCGTGTCTGCTTCCTAAAAAATGCTCAGGCCGGGGACTGGAGTCAGAAAGAGCCTGGCCAGGGCAAGCTTGGAGCTGGTACCTCATGAAGCTTGGCCACTGGCCTACTGAGCAGTTCTGGGTCTTGTCCTTCTTGTTCCTAAATGGGAGAAAGACCTCGATGGCAAGATCTCTGTGTGATGGCGCCAGCCCTGCTGGAGCACTTCAGAAATTCGTGGAATTGTTGACTTGTGTATCTCTATTTCTAGTTTTAAAAAAGTGTGTGCATATCAAATATGGAAATATACATCATATGAATGTATATGAGAATATGGAGCTCCATTATTGCATGTTAAGCTATATTGTTTAATTATAAATTACTTACCTTTATTTCTCCAAAAAATACTCAAGTCACAGGACATTATGGTTACTTTAAGATGTATGTGAGCAGAATTAGCTGTGATGGTACCTGGCTGTAGTCATAGCTACTTGAGAGGCTGAGGCAGAAGGATTGCCTAAACCCAGGAGGTCAAGGCTGCAGTGAGCCATGACTTCCATGCTCTCCAGCCCGGGTGACGGGGCGAGACTCTGAGACTCTTGAGTCGAACAACAATAATAATAACCATAATAAATTGTATGTGAGCAGGCAGTTTAGACTACCAGTGAATTTTATCCCAGGATAGTCCATGAAGACATTATAGAATATTTACTACAAATCAGGGTGGTGGGTCTGTCAGGGTTGCACTGGATGATTCTGACATTATTCCAAGTGTCTTTCGTGTTCTTACTGCTTTTTAAATCATTTTTCATCTTCCAATCCCTAAGCAACGTTTTGGACCTGCAGAGAAGTTTCATTAGGTCCAGCAAAACTTCTGGTTGACGTCTGCAAAGATGGGAGGAGCCCCAGAGGAGGGGGTGGGGAAAAGGAGCTGCCCACACCCCAAGCTGGGGCTTTTGTGCGATTTCATCAGTTCTCCTGCCTGAGCCTGCAGTGTGTCCAAGACTCACACCACATGCCTTTCCTCAACTCCTGTTTCCTCCCCTCTCTATAGGGGACCCCGCTTCTAACGCCCATGCAGCCATGCAACCCAGAGTGTCAGTCAGCAGGACCCCAGGATAAATCCTGGTGGGTCCACTTGTCAACCATGTGATTTTGGACATGTTCACAAACCTCTCTGAGCCTCAGTGTTGCCCTCTGTAAGATGGAGAGATAGGAGAGCTCATCTTTGTGACCCTCAGCAGCTCGCGGCTTGAGCATAGCACTTCCCGCTATAGGGCTTTGCACAGCTAAGTCAAGTCCTCCACACTCCTGGATCCTCACCTGCAGGACAGGGCCTATGGCAGCCCCGCCTCCCAGAGTTGCCTTGAAGATGGAGCGGATGCCAGACAGTGCTCCGGTGGTCCCAGACACAGAAGACAGACCATGTGCTGGTGGGTGGAAGCCAGCAGGGTCTGGCTTCTCTACTCTAGTCACCAGCGCATATTCCTGGGAGAGCCACCAAGCTCCTCTGGGCCTCTGTTTTTCCCATCTCTAGAATGGCAATAATGATTCCCAGTGGTCATGGTTTTGGAAGGATTGTGTGAGATTCAAGATGTAAAGTGCCCTCTCCCAGGCCTGGCCCACTGTGGATATTCAGTTCATTTTAGTCTTTGTACTTTTTCCCTTTCCCCTCAGCCCCTTCTCCTCTGCTGTGGGGGCCCTGATGGGTCACACCACAGACAGTCACATCACTGCAGTGACACCAGGAAGGAAGGCCTTGGGAAAGCATGTCTGCTGGGGAGGGTAGGAACACCGACAAGAGAAATGTCAATGTCCCAGCAATGTCTGTGACCTCAGGAGGAAAGGCCTCTCCCAGCCAAATCAAAGCCCTCAGGAGCCCACTTCCAGAAGGTTGTGGAGGACAAGAAACCCGAAAGGCCGCAGGTGCAGAACCTCCCTCTGGAAGAGAGAAGCTGGTATTCACTGAAATCCAGGGGCTGCTTGCATATGCATACACGGGCAACCGCTTCTTACATATCCACGTGTGTGACTAGCACTCTGGCAGATCTTGGAGACTGGGATAAGGATAATGGGGTTCAATCTCGGTTTGGACACTTACTAGCTTTCTGACACACCCAAACTATCCAATCTCAGTGTGCCTCAGTATTGCAGTTTATAAAATTGGTATAATGGGGGTACCCCATACTGTTGGGGGGCATTGAATGAATTGATGTTAATAGTGCTCTTAATGACATACATGGCACTTACTAAGTGCCCCATAGTAGTGTTAAATAAATACTCCCACCAGGAGGTAGGTATTGTTGCTATCCTCATCATTTTATGGGTGGGGAAACCCAGCCACAAAGAAGTTAATTAACTTGCTCTAGGGCACTCAACTAGCCAGGGTGCACAGCCTGACAGGCTGGTCTCAGAGCCCCCAGGCCTATGAACCCCCAACACACACACATACACACACACACACACACACACACACACACACACACACTCTCTCTCTCTCTCTCTCTCTCTCTCTCTCTCTCTCTCTCTGTCTCTCTCTCTCCCCGCTTGGTAAGAGCCAACTCAATGAGCCCACTGCAAATCACAGTGCACAGCCTTGTCCAGAGGCCCTCATTCTAAGAGAAAGAAACTCAGACTAGGCCCGGAAGATCAAAATAGATCATTCTTCATCTCTGAGGTCCCTGAATGCCCTCATATCACATGTAGATTGCAGATTCTACAGCCAGACATCTACTCGTCAAAACTGCACCTGAGTCTGGTCATTCACTCAGTCTCTCATCAGATGTGAGATTGTCACACTGAGTGTGTCTGCGCTTTGGTTTCCTCACCCACTCATGTATTTAACTCAACTTCATTGAGCTGTGTCATTGAGCATGGGCCATTGACCTGGGCAAACAAGGGAAAGGAGCCCTTTTTCTCCTGTAGACCTAGTCCTGCGGGAAAGCAGCGTGCAGGCCATCAGAGACTCAGATGGTTGGTAGAACGGAGGCTGCAGCGGGTGAGCCAGGAGTATAGGCAGAGACACCTGAGTTGCCTGGGGGAACCACAGAAGGGGCTGAGCTGATACTTGAGGGTCAACAAGGAATCTTCTAGACAGATGAGCAGGCAGGAGGAAAGGCATGGAGTTATGCTCAGGGAATGACCTGACCGGTATTCCTGGAAGCTCAGGAGACTGGAGGAGGTGAGAGTGGAGGGAGGAAGGCGGGCTCAGTGGGCGCACGGGAGAGTGTCTGGTGTCTGGCTCTAGTGTGATTTCTCCACCAGCAGCAGGGACCACGTGGGCCATGGGGGCAGATGGGCAGGGGACGAGCCTGGCGAGAGACTTTTCAAGCAGCTCAGGCAGAAGATGAGGGACGTCTCAGTGAGGGAGGTGGTGGCGGAGTCAGGAGATGGTGAGACAGTGTAAACCACGGCCAAGGCGGAGGAGGTGGACACTACAGGAGGGCCACCAGGCTGCTGACTTGGAACATCTGGGGCGCCACTTCACAAGCTGGTGGTCCTGAAGCAGGGGCAGGCCTGGGCAGCAGATGCTGAGATCAGGCTTGGACGGGGAGAGACTAGGCGGGATATAACTGGATTTAGTGGGGGGAAGAAGCTCGAGCGCCCAAGCTGGAAGTGAAACTGTACAAGTCACCCATGCTTAGGTGCTTGTTGAAACCGAGAGGGGCCAGGCAAGGCGGCTCACGCTTGGAATCTCAGCACTTTGGGAGGCTGAGGTGGAAGGATTGCTTGAGCCCAGGGGCTCGAGACCAGCCTGGGCAACATGGCGAGACCTCTTCTCCAGAAAAAATAAAAATAAAAAACGAGGCCATGTGCACCTGCAGTCCTAGCTACTCGAGGTTGAGATTGCGGTGAGCCATGATCGTGCCACAGCACTCCAGCCTGGGTGACAGAGTGAGTCCCCAACTCAAAAAAAAAAAAGTAAAACTAAGAGGATGAACTTACTCAAGAAGAAGACACGACAGAGAGGAAGGGGAGCAGGTTATGCCAGAGCCAGCCTAGGGGCCCAGCACATCCGGGGAAGAAAAGAGGAGAGCCTGGCACACTGCAGGGGGCTGTCCAAGGCAGGGTGCCCTGCCTTCCTGGGCCAGGCAAATGCCCACCACGGCCCGCTTCTCTCCTCCTAGGCCCGCGGTGCCCACTGCCGTTCAATGCATCCATGGTAGATGGTGGAACCGTCCTGTGCAAGATGGCCTCGGGCCTGGGTGGGGTCGCCATCCAGCAATGCCAGCTGCTATGTCTCCAGGGCTTCCAGAGTGCATTCCCACCGGTGCCATTGGTGTGCAGCCTGGAGAGTGGACGCTGGGAGTCACAGCTGCCTCAGCCCCGGGCCTGCCAGAGTGAGTGACCTGGGGATGTCTGTCCTGTAGCCACTCCCTCTTGGGGATGGGGCTGGTGACCCAGATGAGGGTGTGTGGCTACCTCCCCTCCCCACCCAAGTGTAGCAGATTCACGTGAGCCAGGTGGCACCAAGCAGAAGAGAGCACCCCATGGGGCATCTTCTAGAAAGAGCAGATGTGCTCCAGCTCCCTGAAGTCAGGCTTCTTTTGTCAGTCTCTAGAACCATCTGCTCCTTGGGAAGATTGCTATTATTCTAGCCCTCCTGGGTATCTTGGGTACTAAACAAATCTGGGACAGGTAACTGCCCTGACGGCCAAGACGATGGTGTCAACACATTCAGAGCTGCTTGTCTGGCCTCTGGGAGCCTCTCCCAGCCTCTCCCCCAGCCTACCTGGACCAAGGCTAATGCCTGCCAGAGCCAGGGACAGTGGAACCTGCACCTGGTGGGGCATCCATTCTGGGACCTGTGTCCTGTGTAAATATCGGCCCTCCCTCCCAGTGCTCTGCACAGAGCTCCTTTCTCCTGCTCACATGCTGGACCCACTGAGTGCACATGCAAAAGTACCCACACATGGCAGCGTGGCAGTGCCAGCCTCCGGTGGAACGGGGCAGGCAGCTGGGGCCTGGTACTTGGTCCACCCTGTGCAGTGGGAGGGGCATCTGAGAGAAGGTTCTGGATTCTGGGATTGACTGTCACCAGTCTCTGGATGACTGTCAGAGTGTCAAGAGCAGTATTTTTTGCAAAGCGCTCTGGGTTAGAGAGACCCCCATCCAGAAAAAGCTCAAAATGTGATTTGGATAAATAAGTGACCTGTCACTTTGAATGTGACAGGGTGGTCTAAGCTGAGATCAAGACCAAGATAGTCACAATTGAATCTAAAGCAAGGGGCTTTGGGAAAGAAAGGCGTGGATCTTGAATTCCTGAAGTTGAATGCAGACCGTTGTGTGTGATTGATTGTTCAGGTTGTGAACAGTGCCATTCCTATACCAATGCCATCCCCGTATTCTATGTTACCTATTTTTAACCTGAAAAACCATATGGAGTGGCCTGTGTACAGGATAGTATGAAATATTTACCAAGGGGAATGTCCAGGACCCCCAAATGTAAAGCACCCTGGTGTAGAGGCCAAGGCAGGACTGAGCTTGCTAAGTCGTTTCAGAGACAAGGCATGGTGCTAGGGAGTGATTAGATGCAGAATGGTGGCACAGAAGGCAGTGCTTGTGTGTTTCAAGCTAAATGAGGAAGGAAAACCCAAACAAAGGAAAGAACCCTGCAGGTCTCTCCCTTCGCTGACCCTGCGGCTTGTCTGCAGGGCTCCGGCTGTGGCAGACCCTCCAGACCCAAGGCCACTTCCAGCTCCAGCTCCCTCAAGGCAAGATGTGCACAGAGGACTACACGGGCTTGCTGCAGGCATTCCAGGTCTTCCTGCTGGACGAGCTGACGGCCCAGGGCTTCTGCCAGGTTCAGGTACTGGTGGCCTTCCCCGCCCAAAGGGCTTGGGTCACACTTGGGTCACCGTGTCAGAGAATCTCAGGGCTCCCCTGACCCTGTGGATCAGGTTCAACCGTCACTCATTTTACCACGTGCACACTGAGGCCCCAAACTGGGAAGTGACTCGCCCAGGTTGATTCAGAGCAGCAGAACCGGATCTGTGTCCACCTTGACTGTCCTTTCTACATAAAGACATCGGACATTTACTGAGCATCTAATAGGCACATCCCCAGACACGAATTAGCAAATGCAATCCTCATAGTGACCCTATTATTATTACCATGTTGTAGATATAAAAAGTAAAGGCCAGAGAGGTAAAATAATTGGCCCAGAGTCGTGCAGCCAGGTCAAGGTGGGGCCAGGCAGACTGACTTGAGCACAGAGCTGTGGTGGCCACGCAGTACTGTCCCCACCCAGGGAGAAAGCTTGAGGACGTGGAGCAGGAAGCCTGAAATGTCATCCTGCTCTCTCTGCACCATGGGGCCAGATGTGTTTCTTAACAGCCCTGCAAGGAGGTGATCACGGTTCCTCCCTGGAAGAAGAGTGTGATATGCCAGCTGGCAGGGCGTCCCACCATAAATAACAAATACCAGAGTTTTTCAGCCATGTGATACCCAAGGGCCTTGGCGATCTGAAGTCACAAGTGTTCAGAGAGGGAGTCTTGAAAAATTTCCCAGTTAAAGAAGTCTCGTTCTGCTCAAAGTTTGCTAAATCACCAGGGTCACCCATGTGAAGAATTTTGGAGAACACACGTTTTCACAAAACAACACACTGAAAGTCTTGAGTTTAAAACAAATACAAGAATAAATAGGCCTTTTTCTCGAAAGATATGCACTGACAACAATATCACACTGCCTGTTGTTTATTGAGCACCGACTGTTTGTGGCACCAGGCTGGGAGCGCTGTAGTTCTCCCCTCTAATCCTCATGGCCCTCCACATGGTGGGCATCAGTAGCTCCCCCCATTCAGAAGTGAATTCACTAAAGCCATGGCCAGGTACGCGAGTTGCCCAAGGTTTCTCCATAGCCCAGTAATTCTAGGTCTGTCTGGACCAAGTGTATTTACTTATTCACTCCCTCATTCTTACCTTTACCAAGTATTTCAGTGCCTGGTACAGGCTGGGCATGGCTTTAGGCTCTGAGGATGATCAAAGATCAACAAAGCCCGACACTAGTTGAAGTGGGAAGGATGGATTTTTAAACCGGAATATGCTACCACAGTGGGAAAAGAGTCCAGGGTGAACGGGGAAGTGGACTTGGATTTGGGCAGAGATGACTGGATGCTTTAAGGGGAGGTTGAGGGAAGAGGAGGAGTGAGCGGGGTCTCAGCAGAGTCAGATTTAAAAAGTGGGAGAGGGGGTTGGTCCCTGTGAAACTTGCCTGGGTTTGCTAACTGGCCCTAGTAAGTGAGGCCCCTGCCCTCTCACAGAGGCTGGAAACTAGGGCCTCATTTTCAGGTGCTGGCTGGGGGATCTTAAGAGGTTCCTCAGCCTCCCCGAGGCGAATTCTCCATCTGTAATGTGGGCTAATGATAGTCCCGACTTCACAAGTTTGCTCTGGAGATTAAACGAGCTAATATGTTTAAGGAACTTCACACAGGGCCTGACGAATGGAACATGTTCAAAAATGGTGCCAAGAGTGCTAAGTGCCTGGCACATGGCAGGTGCCATAGGAACACCCACATTCACTTTCTCACCTTCCCCTGGGGGTATAGCACAGGGTGCAGTGCTCAGTAAGCGCTTGGTGCCTGGCAGTTGGGGTGGGTGGCATTCTAACTCTCAGGCTGCATCTGCGTTGGCCACCCATGGCTCGCTTTCAGGGTGCTGTCTGGATCCCAAAGAAGGAGGTTGAGGGTTCTCATGGTGAAGACTGAAGGTCAGGGCCACATCAATTCTGAATTATGAGTTGGTGACAGGAGTCTTCACTTTCCTCCTAGTACCTTCGAGGAACCCTCCAGACACCCAACCTTTTAATGAACTAACTCCCCTCTTGGGGAAATTCTAGCTCCTTGTGTAGACTCAACAAAACTGGTTTCCGACTCTGTGCTCTGGAACTGACAGCATTTGCTTCCACGTAGGTGAAGACCCCTGGCACCCTGGTGTCCATTCCTGCCTGCGACAACTCCTCTGTACAGGTGGGGTGTCTGACCAAGGAGCGTCTAGGAGTGAATGTCACATGGAAGGCACGGCTTGAGGATATCCTGGTGGCCTCTCTTCCCGATCTGCACCACATTGGTATGTTTTTTTGCACCATCGCCTTGAAGAAGCCGTGCAGTCTCTCTGAGTCTCGGTTTCCTCATCTGTCAAATGGAGATCGTGAAGCCCATGATGTCTTCCTGAGAGGATCATGGGGAAAGATAATTATTAAAACTCTATAAACATCAATAGCATTCTAGCCAAAGCTTACTAGAGCTAAATCATATCAACAAAGAGCCTGACTTTGCTTTTGAGACCATCTCCAATTTTCTTGATTTTCTGAGGACAGAGAAGTGAGACAGAAAGTATGGAACAGAGAGCAGGGTGGGAAGAAGTCTTTATCGGTTTAAAATTGACGTCTCACCCACTTCTAACTATGAAATGTCTTAGCCCACTTACACTATTAAAACAGGGCAGTTAGGATATGGATATATCTAAAGAGGACAAAGACAGAAGAAGGAGGCATGAAGGAATTTTATGATCACGGCTATGAGCACGCAACATGTGTCACAATGAGATTTCTGGGTGATCTTAAGAGGTTCCTTAGCCTTTCCAAGGCAAATTCTCCATCTGTAATGTGGGCTAATGATAGTCCCAACTTCACAAGTTTGCTCTGGAGATTAAGTGAGCTAATATGTTTCCATGTACTTCTGACCACTGATAAAGGAGGCATCTCCACTTCCTTCTACCTTCCTGTGACCAAACACCCGGAGGCAGGTCTGGCCGGAGCAAGCCCTCTGATCTGGGAGGAGGAACTTCTGAAAAACATTGCCAGGAAGGAGACTGTGTCTCTGTCATTCTCTAGTCCTTGGGGTGATGCCCTTCTGTGTGGAAACACTGCCTTCCCTCCAGCACTAGGAATCAGGGGCCCACTTGCGCCTTCTCCAAGAAGAGCGTGGGTAATCTGGGGATGTCTAAAGCTGCAACAGCATGAGCTGTCTATTCCTGGCTTCAGCAGAGAGGCAGCGACACCTGGTTTCAGGCCATGACTGGCTTCCCAGGAGGCCAGATGTTTGCGCGTGCTGGGGTCTGACCTGGCTCCTGACATGGCATACACCTGCTTTCTCCTGGGAAATACTTTTTATTGTGTTAACTGCAGGCATTTCAGTGAGCTTAATTCCAGGGAGAAGACCACATCACGCCCTCTTGTCCTCACCTTCCCTCTGAGTGTCCCCTTCACACACATTCTCTCCCGGGAGTCTCACCCACTCCCAGGGAGGTGTTTCTGGGCCATTTTTCAGAAGGGGAAACTGAGGCTCAGAGGTGTTCGGTGCCTTGTCAAAGGTTGAGGTGGAGGAGTATCTGAATTGTGCACTTTATTTTTATTTTTTTATTTTGTATTTTTTTGAGTTGGAGTCTCACTCTGTCGCCCAGACTGGAGTGCAGTGGCCACTCCCGGCCACCGCAACCTCGACCTGCTGGGCTCCAGCGATCCTTCTGCCTCAGCCTTCCGAGTAGCCGGAATTACAAGCGCGCACTACCATGCCTGGCTAATTTTTTAATTTTATTGTAGAGATGAGATCTCGCTGCCCAGGCAAGTCTCGAACCCGCGGGCTCAGGCAATCCACTCACCTCAACCTCCCCAAGGCACAGGATTACAGGCTGAGCCACGGAGCCCAGCTTAGATTGTGCGCTTTAGATTAGTGACAGAAGATGTGCTCTCCTGTAGCAATGTGGGTCACATCAGTGCCACAAAAATGACAGGAGCCAGGAGATTTGGTTGAAGTCTCACTCTCGCTTCTGACTCCTGTGTGACCTTAAACCAGTCCATCTCCTTCTCCTGGTCTCAATCCCCCTCCTCTGTAAAATGAGACACCAATGCCGGGCTCGGTGGCTCAGCCTGTAATCCCGCGCCTTTGGGAGCCTGAGGTGAGTGGATTGCCTGAGCCCACGGATTCGAGACCCGCCTGGGCAGTGAGACCTCTTCTCTATAATAAATCAAAAAATCAGCGGGCGTGGTAGCGCATGCCTGTAATTCCAGTTACTCAGAAGGCTGAGGCGGAAGGATCACTGGAGCCCAGCAGGTCGAGGCTGCGGTGGCCGGGAGCGGCCACTGCACTCCAGTCTGGGCGATTGACTGAGACTCCAACTAAAAAAAAAAAAAAATGAGACACCAGATTGTGCCTCTGTCTCCTTGGTCTCCAGGACATTCGAGGCAGCTCTGTCCCCTTGAGCCCTGTTGGTCCTTGCAGGGAATGGTGAGGTGACATCTGTTTTATCCTGTGTGTTGCAGAGAGGGCCTTCGTGGGCAAAGATCTCCTCGGACGCTTTGCAGACCTGATCCAAAGTGGCACGTTCCAGCTTCATCTGGATTCTAAGACGTTCCCAGCAGACACCTCCATCCGCTTCCTGCAGGGAGACCGCTTTGTTGCCTCTCCCAGGGCATGGCTTGGGTGCCTGGAAGGATTCCACCGAGTCTCGACCACCAGTGAGGCCAGTCAGGACCCAGTTTGGTGTGGTAGGTTCACTCTCTCTCCCTACACTGTTCTGAGTGTCATACAAGATTTCAGGAAAGGGCCCTGGGACCCCAGAGAGAGGCTACTAGGCATACAGATTTGAGGGTCATCCATTTAGTCAGTCAACAAACATTTTCAGTCATCCACTGTGCGTGGGCATAGCGTCATCACCTGTGAGAGGGAAGGAGGAGGTGGACCCGATGTTTGAAGCCCTTTCTGTTAGTTCCTGGCCAGCATGGACCCTGGGGCTGGGCTGCACTGTCTTTATGAAGCAGGCGGATGTCTACTTTGTATCCTGGGTGGGCATTTTCTAGTCTGGTTGTAGCAATGTGTTACTCACCACATTCCCCAAATCAGCCCAAGACTTGACAACTCAGGGAAAGCAATTCCTAACAGGGGTTTACTTGAGTTGTTCATGCCCTTGGCCATGAGTAGTTTGGAGGCCATTTTCACTGGACTGTGCTGTGAAGTTCTTGACGGGAGGCTTTGTTCATTTCCTATCGCCATCATAACGAATTTTGTGGCTTAAAACAATACAAGTATATTGTCTATATTGTCTGATAGATCTTTAGATTTGAATTCCAACATGGGTATCACTGCAGGGCTACCATCCTCCTGAAGCCCTGGGGATATCTGTCTCCTTGGCTCCTCCAGTTTCTAGAGGTTACCCCCCTTTCTTGGCTGGTGGCTTCCTTCCCCTGTCATCGAAGCCAGAAATGCCACCAGTTTCTGGCCCTTCTCTCTCGCCATATCTCCCCTGCTCTCTGTCCCATCTGAGGACCTTGTAATTACACCCAACTGCATCACCCTGGATCCTCTTCTTACTTGGAGGTCAGCTGATTAGTGACCTTAATTCTATCTACAACCAAAATTCCCCTTTGCTGCATAATCTACTGTATTCACTAGTTCCAAGGATCAGGATGGGTGTGTCTTTGTGGGGGGGCGTCATAATATCTGCCACTGCAGTCCAGGCGTCTCCTAATGAAGAGCATTTCTCCTTTGTGGAGTGAGACAGGAAGACATTTTCCTTGAGTTGAAGAGAGACATCTTTTAGTTTATTCCTCATTATTTATATTGGTTGCTACACAAAAGCTACATGGCCTTTCCTTTTCTGAAATCCACGCCAAATTCTAAGCTCCACAGTGGATTAAAGATGCAGCTAAATCTTTTTTTTTTCTTTGAGTTGGAGTCTCACTCTGTCACCCAGACTGGAGCGCAGTGGCCGCTCCCGGCCACCGCAGCCTCGACCTGCTGGACTCCGGCGATCCTTCCGCCTCAACCTTCCAATAGCTGGAACTACAGGTGTGCACTACCACGCCTGGATGATTTTTTTGATTTATTATAGAGATGAGGTCTCGCTGCCCAGGCGGGTCTTGAACCCGTGGGCTCAGGCAATCCACTCACCTCAGCCTCCCCAAGGCGTGGGATTACAGGCTGAGCCACCGAGCCCGGCTGCAGCTAAATCTTAACACAGAAAACAGAAATGCAACCACGTCCCACTAGAAGGTATAGAGGATTTTGCAGTTACAATACACCTTCACTGATATTTAACTCTCACAATAGTCCCGAACATTTCCTCATTTGACCAAACAGGCTGTGGCGCAGATTAAATGCAGTTGTGCATCTCTAGTGCCCAGAGCAGGCTGACACATAGGAGGGACTCCAGGTCACCTGATGTCCGTGGGCAAGTCAACCCCATAGACATCTGGGACCAGAGCCCTGGATCCTTCTTTCTACCTCATGAGACTGCCCAAACCAAGAGCGCAAGAAATGGTTGCAAGCGTTGATGGTACCCCGCCCCCCAGAGTGGGCAGAACTGGAGTCAAGGAGAAGGAGGGTCCTGCAGAGAACACCTGCCACTATGTTCTCAACTTTATCATGAAGAGTCTAGGGCTCTAGTAAGTGTGTGTATGTGTCCTTTAGCATGTGTTTATATGTGTGCATATGTGTGACTGTGTAGGCATGTGTGTGTGCATATCTATATGCGTACGCACATGTGATGCGTATATGTGTGCATGCATGTGAGTGTGTTTGTGTTCATGCATGTGTATTGTGTGGCACATGTATGTATGCACACACATGTGTATGTTGTGTGGGGGCTGCTGGAGACTGCTTTTAGAGCTACCCCAGGTGGTATAGCCCCCACTTCCAGGTGGAGGTCTGGAAGTTGTACCAGGAGGCCTATGGCCAAGGGGTGCCCTCTGGAGCAGTGAGTTAAGAGGGGGAGTGAGGAGATGAGGATGGAAGCTAAGGGCTGCCGGAGAGCCTGTGTTGACTCTGCACCTTTAAGGAAGCTGATTCCTTTCACCCCTCCCCACACACAGATAACTTGGAGCTGCTGGCTTGGAAACCCCTCCCCCTCCCCGGTTCCTTTTAGGGAGCCCAGTTACTAGTTACTATCCACCAGGAGATGGGAGGGGAAGGCTTGGCTCCCTTTTGCCTGAAGGGGGAAGCCAGCGGGTGTTGAGGCGTGGGGCTGGGGAAGCAGCAGCTGGTGTGGGAGGGTGGTGAGGGTTTCTGAGGGCCCTTGTGGACCTCAGAGTGGGGTCCAGGAAGGGACTGGAGGGGAGACCTCACCCAGAACGTGCTTGCTCGAGAGCAGAAGTCAGCAAGCTTTTTCTTTTTTTTGAGTGAGAGTCTCACTCTGTCGCCCAGACTGGAGTGCAGTGGCACACTCCAGGCCACTGCAGCCTCGACCTGCTGGGCTCTGGCGATCCTTCCACCTCAGCCTTCCAAGTAGCTGGAACTACAGGCGCGCGCTACCACGCCCGGCTGATTTTTGATTTATTGTAGAGATGGGGTCTCGTCAAGTTGCCCAGGCGGGTCTCAAACCGGCGGGCTCAGGCAATCCACTCGCCTCGGCCTCCCAAAGTACTGGGATTGCAGGCTGAGCCACCGAGCCCGGCAAACTTTTTCTTTAAGGTAGCAAATGTTTTAGGTTTTGTGGACCCTACAGTCTCCATCTCAGTAGCTCAACTCAGCCATTGTGGGGCGAAACACGTGACTGGGCTCCAATAAAATTTTATTATCAAAACAGGAGGCAGCTGGATTTAGCTCCCAGGCCTGCATTCTGTTTTCGACTGCTGCAGCCTTTAACTGACTCACAAAGACTTGTCAATCACGCCATGCAGCCCTACCCCTTCCTCCAGAGGGTAGAAAAATCTGAAAGGGAAGTCACAAAAGCCACCGAAAGCCTTGGTTCTTCTCTAGCGTCACTGATATCTGTCCTTTATTGAGCTTCTGATACGTGTGAGAACTCAACTAACATTTCTCTGTCCAGAGAATCGGCTGTTATTACCAATGAGGAAAACAGGGCACTAGCGCTATATAGTGTTAGGAAACTGCTCTTCCAAGCCAGGGGGCCTGAACCTGAGTCCTGACTTCAATACTTTGTCGCTGTGGCTTCCTGGGAATGTCCCTTACTCTCAGTAGGCATCATCTGAAAAATAGGGAGAAAAGTCCCTTTCTCATGAAGTTGTGGTTTAGATAGCCTGAATAATGGGTACAATGTGCAGCACGTAGCAGGGTCTTGATGGACGGTTTTGGTGTTGAACTTGGCGGAGCTGGGATCTCAGCGCAGATCCGTGTACCTCTAGGTGCTTCGTTCTGTCCTCTGCTTCACACATCCTGTCCTCCTCTCAACAAGAGGCTTCTTAGGGAAATCGAACTCTCTGGTTCTTGTATCTATTCTTGCTGGCTCTTTTCCTTCAAAAACACACCTGGAGCCAGGTTTGGTGGCTCAGCTTGTAATCCCACACCTTTGGGAGGCTGAGGTGAGTGGATTGCCTGAGCCCGCAGGTTCGAGACCCGCCTGGGCAGTGAGACTTCATCTCTACAATAAATCAAAAAATCAGCCGGGCGTGGTAGCACATACCTGTAATTTCGGCTACTGGGAAGGCTGAGGCGGAAGGATCGCTGGAGCCCAGCAGGCGGGGCTGCGGTGGCCGGAAGCGGCCACTGCACTCCAGTCTGGCTGACAGAGTGAGACTCCAACTCAAAAAAAAAAAAAACACACCTGGGACACAGCTGTGTTGTGACAAGGCGGAGTATTGTCCTCTGGTGATGAAACAGGGTTTCTCTGTATCATCTTGGGGGCTCATCTGGGTGGCCCCCTTGGAAAACAGTGACTCAGAGGGCGGGTGGACACCAATAGCCCCCAGGACTCAGGCGGGCATGGTAGCCTTGATTCCGGGAGCTGACCACTGTGGAGAGTGGGGGCTGTGTTTGCAGCTCTAATGGGGTCAGTTTTGTTCACCCTTTGGCTTCGAGGACAGTCATATGACTTCCCCTTGAAATCACCTACTGGCAGCCATGGAGCAGATTCATTTATGAAGGCTCCCAGGGAAATTGTCAAGAGTTTCTATTTCCTATTCTGGATAACATTGACCTTTACTCATTCACTATAAATTCTTATAATAGAACTAGTTCCCTATAGAGTTTTGTTCTGAAGTAATATGTTATGTCTTCCTTCCCTCCCTTCCTCCCTCTCTCTCTCCTGTCCTTTCGTTTCTTTCTTTTTTATTTCTTTTCTGCCATCCATTCATTCATTCATGCTTTCAAAATAGAATTATGTACCAAACACCATGCTCTATGCTCAGGGGAGCAAATGACAAAGCTCCACGTTCAAGGACCTCACAGTCGAGCTGGGGAGAGGTAGGTGAATAGGCAACTCGACTGTCACGTGAAGAAGCCCATCACAGCCAGGTTAGGGCCTTCAGGGCGGGCGAGCTAGGCTAGGGATGCTGATGGAAGCCTTGAAAGATGAATGGGAATTGGTGCTCAGACAGGAGCAGACAGGAAGTGGTGTGTGTGTGTGTTTGCACATGTGTGTGTGCATGTACCCACGTCCGGGGTGCTACAGTTTGTGTGTTTGCACGTGTGTTTGTTTGCACATGTGTGTGTTTGCACACATGTGTACCTGTATTGGAGTGCTAATGTGTGTGTTTGCACATGTGTGTGTGCTTGTACATGAGTGTGTGTGTGTGTACCCGTGTTGAGGGTGCTGAGGTGATGGAGAACATTCCAAAAATGGAGATCTGTATGAAAGCAGGAAGTTGGGGAACAACTATGGCGACAGTGCCCATGATTCCCACAGTTGGGGTGCCAGGTGTGTGGAGAATGTGGCAGGAGCTGGGGCCAGAGACAGACAGGGACAGGCCAGGAGAGATCTCGGGGCACAGCAAGGGTCTTGGGCTTGTGAGGGCCCCCGGGGAACAATTTTAACTTAGAGAAAGACGGGACCAGGCGTGAGCTTGAGCCACCTTCCTGAGGAGTGCAGGGTGGCTGTGTTTCCTCACAGATATTCCTCTTCATCAGAAACGTGGCTGTCACTCCTGGGGTCTGTGGGGAAGGGCTGACGGGAGGGGTAGCATGATCCCAAAGCTGTGAAGCTCCCAAACTCAAGTAGTCTGAATCGTCCCATTTTGTGGAGGAGGCAACAGAGGCTAGGGGTCTTCTGAGGATGTCGAGGGAGGGGTTTCATGGAGGGTAAACACCCAGTTGTGGCTGCTAGCCCAGTGATCAGGAGAGGAGCCCCTGATGAGGGAAGAAAAATGGTGTTACAACTGTGACTCTGGCTCGTCCTGACTCACAAAAGTGCTCTTTGGGATGGAAAAGGCTCTTGATGTCAGAGAAGAGAAAGGACTGGGGGGAAACCATGCATTCCCTTAGTACCCATGAGAGCCCGGGCCCATGAGGCTCGCCGCAGGGTTGGTTCCTGGGTCTCTCCATCTTGCATCTCTCGCACCTTGGGCTTGGAGGGCAGAGTGACACGGACTGGCTGAAATGCTTTCGTTTTCCTTTTGCAATGGACTTGGAGGCCGCCTACTTGAAAAAAGTAGTCACAGTTCTGGGCTGGAAGTGCCAGAGATCGTCAACAATCTGACTCATAGAAGTAACGAAACTCCACTCCTGGGGGACAATGACAATTGCTCAGGGCAGACCGAAAAAACACGCTGTTCTGTTTCCAAGACGTGGCTGGAATTTCTAGTTTACTCAGAAGTGCCAAGTGCACACGCAGCCCAGAGGTAGCAGTGCTAGGTCAATGCTGGCTCTGCCCCAGCGTGTCCCATTCAGAGGTGCTGACTCCTCCACCAGAGGGAGTGACCAGGTTGGTGGCTGGACAGAGGCTGTGGCTTGGAGATTTATGAATGAGACTCAGACCCAATCTCTGTGGCCTCACTGCCCGGTCAACCTAGACCTTGAAACTCCATTTTCTCCAGTCTTGAATGGAGGTGACACTGTTCCCATGGGGTTGTGAGAAAAACACATTGAGACATCTGTCACTGGGCTTGCCATAGTCTATAATTTTACTTCCCCAGTGTCCATGGAAAGTATGCTAGGAAGTCATGCCTGAATGTCCTGGGACTCAACTCAGTAGTGAAACGGGATAAAATACTAACTCTTGGGAGTGATCACCAATGCATGTAAAGCACAGAGCAGAGTGAGAGGTTCAGCGTAAGGGTTCCCAAAGTGGAGGCAACCCTCCTTCAGGTCCCCTCCCACTTGGGAACTCTTCTGTCTTAATAAACTCCTGCTTTCTCACCAAAAAAATAGCGTTCCTAAAATGGGCACAATCTTAGCACCCACTTTTGACTGGGTAAAAGCTCACTTCTGGAAATTACTTGGAACTCTTGGGAATACAACACTGAACCAAGAAAGAAAGCAAAAGAACCTCTTCTCTGAGCCATCATGACCAGTGGCCAACTCCATGTACGTTCTTCAGGCCAGAACTCCTTGGCCTCTGACTTGGAACTCTCAGAGAATCCTTCTTAGAACTCTATCTAACTCTAGAGTGTTCCTGGCTTTGCAGCTGGTATCCTGTTAGAGGAGGGACTTTGGGAGGAACTAGGAGTGTTAGAATCAGAGGGTCACAACGACCTAGAATGGGCAGATTCTTAGCGTAACACGGGAGGGATAAGGGTGAGGTGGGTGAGGCACCCAGGGTGCAACACAGAAGGAGGGTGTCACTCTTGAGAGTGTCCGTGGCAGTTCTGAGTCAATCAAAGCCCAGCAGTCTTGATAGTGAGAGCCTCCTGATTGTGGATGCTGAATGCTCACTGGCCTCCTCTAAGTCCTGGGTCTGGGTCACACTTGATCGACCAACAGAGAGAGAGACTGCAGGCATCAAATGAGGTGGTGCCCAACCGCTGGGATTGCCTCCAGAGAGGGTATCCTTTTTGCACAGAGTAGGTGCTGAAGCTGGCTACAAGAAGGACTTCCTTAAGAGTGAATAATTTATTGAGCACTGAGTCTGGCCTTATGATGTGTACTCCATGTACACTGTCTGTCACTGCACTCCAATGCAATAGTATTAATATTAGATATATAGTAATATTATTTACTCCCATTTTGCAGAAGAGAAAGTGGAGCTTCAGAAAAGTCAAAAGTTAGGCTGGTGTAAGCAGTTTGGGGACTCCACTCAATCTCTCAGACCCCAAAGTTCATACCCCTGCCCCTCCACCCTCTACCATGACCTTAACTTTGGGAAGTGTGACCTTAAACCATGGCAACTGTGGATAGGTTTTCATCTTTCGAATGCTTCTCCAACTTCATCTCCTGTCTTTCTTCCCTTTGCAGACTAAGTTTCGGTTCTGCAGTGGCTTAGTTTGGCTTTTCTTTTTCCAACTTTGAACAGTCCAAACACTCCTATCTTTGGGTTTTTGCGTGTGCTGTTCCCCTGCCTGGAATTCCCTTCTCCTGGACCTTTGCCCAGGCTACTCCTCATCATTTGAGTCTCAAGCACTAGGGGGGGCTCCCTCACCGACATGCCTGCCTCTCCTGCCTCACCCATGCCCGAAGTTCTTGTCTGACTCTATCACCTCTTGTGAGCATGTCATACAGCTCCTGGCAAGCAGGAACCCGTCTCTCTTGTTCACAGCCACATCCCTGCCCCAGGGCCCAACACACAGTCGGGCCTCAGTGGACACTTGTTAAATGACTGCGCTCTTTGACCTTTTTAAGGATTTCATACACCCTGTGTAGTGAGATTGGAACTGTAAAGCAAGTGTCCTGTTTTTTGACGTTGCTTTTTCTATTTATATTTTCCAGTCAAGTGTCCCGAAGGAAGCTTTTCTCAAGATGAGCAATGCATTCCCTGTCCTGTCGGATTCTACCAAGAACGGGCAGGTAGCTTGGCCTGTGTCCCATGTCCTGTGGGCAGAACAACCACTTCTACTGGAGCTTTCAGCCAGACTCACTGTAAGTTCTACTGGGTCCTGCTTTGAAAGAGAAACCCTGGAAGACAATGGGATGCAACAGGGCTCCTCCATTTTGGCACCTTTGACATCTTGGAACAGATAGTTCTTTGCTGTACTGAGCATGGTAGGACTGGTGGCATCACGAACTCTTAGATGCCGTCAGTACTCCCTCCCCTAAGCTGTGACAACCAAACATGTCTCCAGACATTGCCAAGTGTCTTTTAGGTAGAAAGAGGGAATGCCAAATTGCCCACCATTGAGAACTATTGGATACACAGCGTGATAATCAGAGGGGCCGCCATCTTTGACTCTCTATCTCCTGGCAGACTTGGCCCAGTTATCTTGCCTGTGCTATTCCATTCAACCCTCTCAATGCCCCTTCTAGGTAAATATTGTAAGTTCAACCTTTAACAGATAAGAAGACTCAGGCTCAAAGAAAGGAAACAGCCATAGTCACCCAGCTAATTGATGACATAACTGGTCTTTGATCTGGGTTTTGTCTGATTCTGAAACTCTGGGTTTTTGTGAGTCAACCTTATCAGATTGAAATGTGGAAGATATTTTCCACCTCTAGTTATTTCCGCTGTGTGGCTCATGTTCCCTTTCTGACCCCATACACTTGTCAGGACTGTGTGTGCGTGCAGCCTTCCCATATGTCATGTGATTTCACTCGACCTACTTACTTGTTAGTCACCTAGTATGGCTGGGTTTTTTCCTGGCAAGACCCATAACGTGGCTTGTTGTGCATCTTTTCTTGTTAGTCTAAAATTGGGTCAACATGAAGCAAACCAATTTTTAAAATAAGTGATCAGAAGAGATCAAGTCACTTTCTTTGGTTAGGGAAGTTTCCTTGGTCAGGAGAGCTGTGGTCCCAGAACAGTGATTCTAAGAAAGTAAGAGGAATTTTATAGGCTGGGAGTCGGGCATTTTTCATGGAGAGGAAACACCCTTGGTTTGTACACATGGGCTCTAGCACCTGTAGTTTGAGATGACTTGAAGGGCTATCAAAATGCCAGAGAGCAGCTTCTTAATAGGGGATTGCTGTGCTGTGCTGATTCTTGTTTATGGGGGAAGCAACAGTGGCAGGGAACAGAGAGAGAGGCTGGGGCTTGCCTTACCAGGCCCAGTTCATTCCTACCCTCCCTCTGTTACTGTAATCGAGGCCAAATCATCTTCCTTCTCTGAATGTCAACTCCCCAATCTAACAGATGCGGCCACGATGTCTCACTCATGAGGTGGTTATGCAATGTGTCTAGGTTCAGGCTGATATTACAAATTGCCACAGACTGGGCAACACACATTTATTTCTCACAGTTCTGTAGGCTGGAAGTCTGAGGTCAGGGTGTCAGTAGGATGCTGAAGGTTATCTTCTTGGTTATGTCCTCACACGACCTGTTTTTGGTATGTGCACAGAGAGGTAGAGAGAAAGCTCTCCTCTTTTATTTCAAGTGGAATCGAATGTTTAACATAAACAATGAACACTCCTTTTCTACCCACTTTTGGAGAGAGCTTTGATCACATTTCCATGCAGTAGAAGAGGGCTGTGCTGCATTATCACACCACTCGCCGCCCACCCCTGGTATCTTCCCTGAGGAATAGACTAGATTTGAGTGAGTGGTTTTCCAGGGTCAAGGCTGAAGTCTGTGAGAAGGACATCAATCCCATCATAGGGACTCTACCCTCAGAACCTCATCTAAACTTCCCAAAAGCTTCACCTCTACATCCCATCACTCTGGGGATTAGAGCTTCAGCATAGGAATTTGGGGGGACACAAACACTTAGTCCATAGCAAAGTGGAATCATATGTTTAACATAAACAATGAGTACTCCTTTCCTACCCACTTTTGGAGTGAGATTAGATCGCATTTCCATGCAGTAGGAGAGGGCTGTGCTGCGTCTTTGCTTCCCCAACCCCTGACATCTCCCCTGGGGCATAGACTGAATTTGAGTGAGTGGTTCTCCAGTGTCAAGGCTGGAGTCTGTGCTAAGGGTCTGCTCATATTACAGAAGCTTCTTTATGACTCATGAACACCATTGTTCTGCTCGCTGGGATTTGTGTTCTTAGAGCGAATCCCACTGAAGAGAGAAGAACCTGCCAAGTCTGAAAGGATGACAATATTTCATTGGTTTCCATTCGGTGTTAGGACAGCTCGTAGCATCCCAACTCCTTGCTATAGCTGGGGTCTCAAATATAGTTCTTACTTACACTTTTCTCCTATGTTGCCTAACTTAGCCAGTTCTGTGGACTATTTTTGATATTCTGTGGCTAACTGAGTAAATCTTTATTTACTTGTTTGTTTACTGATGTGTTAATTCACGGGTAGCATGTATGGCATGCAAAGTATTCTATTTGCAAAGTAGCCTTTGTAACCTCCTCATAAAATAGCCGTTATTAATCAATGGCAAATCGTATAACCAACAGTCTTAAAATACAGGAACTCAGATGTCATCAAGTCTCTGGGCTGCTATGAAAGATTACCTTTCCCCTACTACTCAGTCCTAGAAAACCAAATTGAGATATTCTCTTTTGCCAACGTCCATCAGAAATTTATCAAGCACCTGCCTGATACCAAATATCTATGGGTATATTAAATGTGTAATAATAAAGTCTTCTTCCTCAAGCAGTTTAGAGTATGATAGGAAAAGGAGTTATGTAAGTCTATGAGTGTAATGGAATTAATATAATCGGGTGCACGTCAGATGCTGTTATAGCAGCTTGCGCAAGTCTTGAAGGAAGAAGGGATTAGCCAGGGGACAGGTGCAGGAAGGCCTTCAAGGAAGAAGAAATTGCTTGAACCCAGGGATAGATGAATTCATTCATGGATTTGACTAATATTCATGAGTTTTTAAAGGGGGGCTTGTTTTATGTGTCAGACACAGAGCAAGGCGCTGTGTTTATTGGTAGGAATTTGGGGGGGACACAAACATTTAGTCCCTAGCAAGGTGGAATCGCAAAACCAAACCTGGTTCATGCCTTCCTGGCACTTCTATGGTGCACAAGGCAGGTAGTCATTCACCATGCATACAGAGAAATGAAAATAATAACTGTCTCCTGTTATGAAGGAGAGGCATAGGTCCCTGGGAGAGTGTGTCACATGTGAGCCTGACTTAGTTGGGAAGTTCAGAGTTGTCTTAGTCCATTTGAGCTGCTATAACAGAAGACCATAAACCAGCTGGCTTATAACAACAGAAATTTACTTCTCACAGTTCCGGTGGTGGGGAAGTCCAAGGTCAAGGTGCCAACAGATTTGGTGTCTGATAAGGGGGTCATAGATGACAGCGTCTCACTGTGCTGTCACATGGTAGAAGGGACAAATGAGCTCCTTTGGACCTTTTATAGGGGCAATAATCTCATTCCTGAGGGGCCCACTCCCGACCTAGTCACCTCCCAAAGACCCCACCTCCCAACACCGTCACACTGGAGACTGGGTTGCAATATGTGAATTTGAGGGAGACACAAACATTCAACCATATCAGGAGGGTCTTCCTGAGGAATTGAGGATTGAGGTGAGAGTGGGTGAGTGGTAGTGGTCCCTCAGTGAAGGCTGAGAGAACCGTGCACCAGGAGAGGGGTCAGACCAGCAAGGCTTGTATTGGAGCAAATGGTGTCAGGGAGGCTGTTGTCTTCAGGGTCTGGAACATAGCGGGTGGTGTGTGGAACATGAAGTGTGTGTGCAGAGGTTGGGATGGGTGCGGACCAGATCACAGAGACTTTATTGATCCCAACAGTGGGGACATATGAGTTTTCAGCTAGAATGTCTAGATAAGATGTGTTACTTAGATGCCTGGACAATGGCCCAGAACCTGGGTGTAGGGAGGGGAGGGGATCTCAGAGGCCCATCGTTGATTGCTGTGTCCACCTCTTGCTTCCAGGTGTCACTGACTGTCAGAGAAATGAGGCAGGCCTGCAGTGTGACCAGAACGGCCAGTACCGAGCCAGCCAGAGAGACAAGGACAGTGGGAAGGCCTTCTGCGTGAACGACAAGGGGCAGAGGCTGCCGTGGTCGGAAACAGAGGCACTACTTGAGGACTCGCAGTGTCTAAGTACGTGGGAAGGTTACATCAGCCATGCTTGCTGGGGAGGTGGGGAGTGGCCTCAGGGTTTTAGAGAAGCAGAGAGGTGCACAAGATGTATTTGTCTCTATCATTTTATTTTGAAAGAATGTTAATCCATGTAGGCGTTGGAAGAATAGTAGAGATAAACAAATACCCATCACCTGGCTCCCCAAATTGTTAATATACTTTCTTTTTTCTGAATCAGCTGGAGATTGAGTTTCAGACATCATGCACCCTGACCCATAAAAACTTCAGCATACACAAGAGATACATTTTTATTTTAAAAAATCATCTGTGGAGGCTTCCAATCTTACAGGCAGCTTGCTTTAGGAAATCCGATCAGCATTTCTCCCTCAAAAGGATTGATTTGTGTGCCTGTCTTTGTTCCATAACTTACTGATTGAGTGACCCCCCAAGCAAGTTTCTCAATATCTCTGGTCATCAAGCCCCCAATGGCTTCCCGTCTGTCTCCTGGGACATTGTAAAGGTCAACATCATCCTATAATGTCAAAAAATACTCATGGGGCACTACCCTGTGCCAGTCACAGTTCCTCAGTGAGATATCAGGTGAGCAGGTCCCAGGTTGACTGACAGATGTCCTATAATACCCGGTGGAGTGGGAGCCCACAGAGCAGAAGAGAAGAGTGTGGTCTGTGGAGTCCGAAGTGGTTTAATTCCAATGGTACCCTTACTAGCTGTATAGTCTCAGGCAAGTCACTCACCCTCTTCCGAAAAATGGGGATCTCAGTGCTCAGGATGTGGGGGCATCAAGTGCTTTCACGATGACATGCCTGTCGGGAGTGCAATATTTCAGAAGGATCAGAAGACTGTGGAACAGCAGGTGAACTGCTCCCTCTTGTTAAATAAGGAGGGAGGCTGAACCACCCTACAAGATCCCTTAATCAGCATCCTCTTGGTCTTCAGGACTCCACTCTGCCCTTCCCTGATGTCCCCTGCCTTTGCTTGAGGTCCTGTGGCTGCCCCTTGCACGTGTGGCAAGCCCGGGCAAGGCCTATCTGCCATGTTCTTAGTATTTCTGTGTGGGGCGAAGGCCCCCCACACATGGACTTACCACAGGCCCAGCATCTTATGTGTTTATCACATTTGAATGCCATGATTTTCCTAAACAGTAGACACTGTTATTGCTAATATTTTGGCCAAAACTGAGGCAAAAGTTGTTTAAGCGCTTATCTTCATCCCCTAGTTAGGTTTAATATACTTAGAACTGAGTTGGTGGCCGGGCACGGTGGTTCAAGCCTATGATCACAGCACTTTGGGAGGCTGAGGGGAGAGGATTGCCTGAGTACGCGGGTTCGAGACCAGCCTGGGAAAAATGGTGAGACCTCGTCTCTACAATAAATCAAAAAAGTAGTCGGGCAGGGTAGCGCGCGCCTGTTGTTCTGACTACTTGGAAGGCTGAGGCGGAAAGACCACCTGAGCCCAGTAGGTCAAGGCTGCAGTGGTTGGGAGTGTGCCACTGCACTCCAGCCTGGTGACAAAGTGAGACTCCAACTCAAAAAAATTAAAAAAAAAGAATTGAGCTGGTATGCGTCAGACTCCCAAACCCCTGTGTTTTTCATGATAACAGTCTGTGCTTCTATCTAGAATTATCTACCATCTCAATAAACACACATGTGCATACAAGCCTGTACATGCATACACACATGCACACACATGCATACATAGCCTGTCCTCTAGGGAAGTTGCTCAGTAGTGACACAAAGTACTGGAGAAAATCCAAATGAGAAGTTGCCATTTACTAATGCTCAGTGCAATCATTTCCCTTCTCTATCGAAACGCTAACCCATTCTAAACACCTATTTTTATGTGCGTGTGTCTCCATGGAAAAATTGCAAATCCATGAAGGTCTTATTCTGTTGCCTTCCAATATTCCTCCTCTTGGGCGGGAAGAGTAATCAGGCGTGTGAGAGCTGGAAGGTGATTTGAGAGAGCAGTTAGGTAGCTCCTTCACAAACACAGGAGAGGGTGTACTTAGAGGGGAAGAAAGCTGCCCAGCGGCCCTGGGGATTCCTGACCATTCTGAGATGACTGCCCAAGTGCTCTCAGTCCTCTCTACATCCCTGTCAATGTTTGGCACCAAGGATTGTCGTATGCAGTCTGTAGGGTATCTCATGGCTTGTTCTGCCCCGTGTTGAGTGAAGAAAGACAATTTAATAAGCAGCGCCAGAAGCTTTCATGAGTTGGCCCAGCTTTGACAATGTTGATGATGCCTCCCTGAGGGGTCAGCTTATTATGAAAAGACTCTAGATAGATCCTTGGCCTCTTTGGCTTCATATGCAAAGCTCCAGGCTTAAGTTTCTCCTTCCGGGCCTGTTGAGGGGATTTCCATGCTAATAAGCCAGGCCTTCGCTGGGATGTCAACATGTCTCTTCTCAGAATTGCCTTTGAGAGAAACTTTCTCTCTGGGAGCAGAATTAATTACAGTCTCACTTTTGAGGCTTTTATCCCTCCGAAAAAGTAAAGGACTTGGAGGTCAGCTCTGCACATTCCCAAGAGGCACCTGTGTGAGAGGGATTGGCCCCTCCTCCAGCCCTGCTTTCCCCTGCTTTGTCCAGGCTTTTGTTCATACCCACCCACGTGGTACCACTGACCCCTCCTCTCTCATATCCTTCTGTGAGTCTATTTCTCTATGATGCTTCCAGCGCAATTATCTTACAAGGCGATTCTGCTTATGTAATGCCGCTTATAATTCCCCAGTGGTTCTGTAGAGCTCTTGGAATAAAGTCATTGCAATATTCAGCCTCTTCTCTGAATTCTAGCCGCGTTAACCCCTATGTTGCTTTGGGGATGGAACTGTATCCTGTTTCTTGACCTATTCCAGGGCACCAGGAACTTGTTGACAGAATGAATGAATTGTTCCAGGTATTCATTGGGCTTCTTTAATACTGTTTACCAAAGGTCTTCTGGAAGGAGGTTCTCCCACTTCCTCAATCTCTGTGGCCAATCGTACAAGCACTGTCACATAGGCAGGGTGTTCTCCAGGGGAGCAAAGGGATCTGGTACGTACTAAGTTGTCACACCACATGCCATGTGTTCCATGCTATGCTGTTTAATCCTCACATCCAGGAAGCTGGGACTCTCAGAGGTTGAGAGGTGCCCAAGGTCATAGGGCTCTTGGTGGCACCAGGACTCCAGCTGAGGGCAAACTCAGACTTGGTGCCTCTCCCCCTGCCTTCTGCCTTTCTGTCTGGACTCTCTCCTGCTGCAGTTTCTGGGAACTTCTTCATCTTCTTTATATTGCTGTGTTTATGCCCAAAGTTAGTTTGACCCTGGTCAATGGAAATATTTCAAACTCATCTTCCCTTTAACTTTAGACCCAGTTTCCTAATTCTGATCTTTGTTGCATGAAATGCCCAAACAGAGGTACATGCCTAATGTTGGGATTATACTATCATATTTCTCCTGGTTTATGGCTGGTGTTATGATGATATTGTTAGTCATTCATTTGTCTCTCTGTCCGTCCATCCATCCATCCAATATATAGGAAACTCGTATCTCTGTCACTGTGCTGGCTAGTGAGTTTTCAGATATGATCAGAACATTGTCTTCACCCTGAAAGGAGACAGGCACTTACATAGCCATGATGTACTACATAGGAGTCATGATCAAATGTATACTGTGCTCTCATGTTAAATTGTATGCTTTCCCCAAGACATTTGTAACTATCTGCTAAGTAGAAATTTGATACATGGAAAATTACACCCGAATGTATAAATCTGCAAATGGACTCAATATTCCATTGGCAAATTGGTTCCTGGATTGTTTCGTTATGAGTGGTCATGAGCTTCTTCACAGAGGGCTGCGCTATGTAGCTCTCTATCAGCAAGACATTCATTGTCTGAAAACTAGCAGTTTCTCTAGTTGAAGTGCTAAGCTGACTGTATTTTTGGCAGAGCTTAATTGAAAACTGAAAGCCCTTTCCAATTATGTTTAGTTTCCTAGAATGTTCTGAGCATCTGGTCTATGTCATTTAAGACTTAGGGACACTGTGATGATGTTGTTGTTGGACTCGTGTGTGCAGTCTCTACAAACAAGATATGATGGAGTATAAAAATTAAAAAGAAGAAAGAAAATGAGAGAAGAAAGGCTGAGTGGGACCTGAGCACATAAACTTGGCAACTTCAATGTTCAGTGTGGAAGAACCATCTTGTAAAGTTAGAATTCTTTCCTAAATCAACAATTTTGGGAGTTTAAAGCATGTCGTTTCTATTATACTGAAGCTGGCCTCTTCCAAGTCTATCCCAAAAGAAATAAACATTTTTATGCGCTTATTATGAAAGCTGAAAAAAAATTTCTTTTGATGGCACTGAATTTATTGACTTGAAAAACCAATCTAGACACAAATGTCTTTTATAAAGCGATGGATGTGTCTAATAATGAGTCCTTGTACATATGTTTATAGTTATGTTTGGGGAAAACTGATGCTTGTATGTGCTTTTGGGCTTGCAAATAAGTCTTGCTTTTTGATAGTTACCTGCAAAATGTTGGCACTCTGGGGCATTTCTGGCTAGGAAGATGAATCTCATTCCTGGAGAACCACCCTCCCTCCCTGCTTGCTTTTTTGCTTGGTGAAGAATGAATTCCAAGTCTCACAGCCTTGAGAAATGATATTTCTTCCTCCTCACTTGTCTAGTTTGGTGAGCATGAGGTGATGTTATTCCTAGCACATGAAGCTCAAGTGTGTTGATGATAGCTAGGAAAACAGATGCTAATATATCACTTCAACAAATATGGTCCTAGGGCAAGTCCCTCGGGTCCCCTCCCATTGTGGAAGCTTTTCTGTCTTCTCAATAAGTCTTACTTTCAAAAAAAAAAGGATGCCTGAGTGGCATGACACATTCTCAGATTTACATGAATTCATATGCATGTGCCTTATTTGTCTTTTAAAAAATAGCTTACCTCATTTCAGAAAGCACTCAAGTTGTTTTACAGAAAAAAGCTTTTCAATAAAATAATTATATGATGTAATTGATAATAATTACATTTTCCCCTTCTTCCTGACATTTAGGTAGGAAAATGGAGACAGGGTTAGTTGTAGGTCTCAGTATTCCACACGAGATCGCATGTCCTTATAAAATTGCTCTCTTCCTGGGATGTTTGTGTGACCAGGGCTGCTGACGGGAAGTGACTTCTTGGCCCATCACTGTTTATGCTTCTCTGAAGTTGCCTACAACCCTTCAAAGTCGCATTTCATAAATCTGCTTTATTTTCAGTGATGCAGAAATTTGAGAAGGTCCCAGACTCAAAGGTAACCTTCAGTGACGACACTCCTCTGGCGGCCAGGTCTACAGTTCCTGGTTCTGAATTCCCGCTGATGCAGTGCTTGGCAGGTAAGGGGGGTAGAGGAGAGATGGCAGATGGGGGATGGTGGAGACATAAGCTCTGCTGAAGTTGTCAAGATAAACCAAATCAAACTCACAGCTATCATGAAAAATACGCTTTAACAAAAACACTGTAAATCAATTGATTTCCAAAATGTTTATTTAATGGATAATTTTACTACAGAGTTTATAGGTGTATCTACTGTATGCCAAAAAATGTTACGAAACAGAAATGAACAAAAATTAGTCTGGCCTAGAGCAATGTTTCCAAGCTGGAATATAAATCTGCCTATCTCAGCAGTGAGGCCAGAGAGGAGGTAATAACAGCTCCTATTTATTGAGCATGTATCTTTGCAAGGGCTATCTCATTGTCTTACAACCACCCATAAAGTAGTCATTGTTATTCCAAGTTACAGACAAGAAAATCAAGGCTTTGAGAGCTTAAGTAACTTGCTCAATGTCACAGAGCCAGCAAGCATCAGAACTTAAATTCAAGCTCAGACTAATGCTGTCAGATCCAACAGTTTTATACCTCCCTCAGTAAGCACATGGGGTTGAGCTGTTAAATAATAACCACTCTGAATATGAATCTGTTTTGGACGTCTGCTTTGGTTATGGTGAGCACGCCGTATTGTTTGTTTCACAAACACAGTGCAAGACATGAGGTAGAAGCTGGAAAAAAGAGTTTGTAGCGTGAAAGATATTCCCAAGAGCCAAGGAATCAAACCTATAGACACGAGGAGTTCGCACCAAGACAGGAAACTTGATGGAGGGCGATGACAGTTGTTGGTCTTGGCAAATAATGTCATACACGTATTCATGTGCATGTGCACACAAGCTGTGACACAACTTCAGTTCGAAGGGTATGCTGATGGGGTGGAAGAAAAAGAGGGTGCAGACTCTTAGGAAATGCGGCAAGCAGGGAAGACAAGTCCATCTGTTCGTGTCAGGAGATGGCTCAACCCACTAGGCCAAACTCAGTGTCCAAAATACATAACACCGAGTTCACAACACTGTAAGAAAGGAACCAGGCAACTGTTTGAAAAGGAAGCCTCAAGTAAGCAATGTCTAGCAAGATGGTATCCTGTCAGATACCAAGAGACAAGCACGAGCAGGATAATCCCAGACGGGCAGTAATTGTGCATCCAGTAGGGGTCCAGGCATTCAGCATTGTATTAGTCTGCTTGGGCCAACAAAACACCACCAACCATGGAGTCTAAACAACAGACACTTGACTCACAATTCTAGAGGCTGGAATTCCAAGATCAAAGTGTCAGCAGGGTTGGTTTCTTCTGGGTCCTCTCTCCTTGGCTTGCTAACGGCCGACTTTGCTCAGTTGGTGTTTTCTGTGTATGTCTATATCCTAATTTTTTTTTCTTATAAAGACACCAGTCCTATTAGACTAGGGACTACTCTAATGACCTCATTATGTACTTAATTACTTCTTTAAAGACCATATCTCCAAATGCCGTGACATTCTTTGGTCCTAGGGTAGGCCTACAATGTATGAGTTTTGAATGGAGAACATAATTCAGCCCATAACAAGCACCAAGAGAGTTTTACAGTTGATCAAAGGGCCACTTTTGAGGTAGGAAAATAAAGCCACAATGGCAGTGGGAGGGGGTGGATATTGTTGTTGGCGAGGAAAAGGGGAGACTGGTAAGAAGACCAAGTCATCTAGAGAACCAAGCGGCACGATGGGGACAGGATGCGTATGGGTTGGTGGGAACATGAGGAAATGTGATCGGGCCATGGCGGGAGCCCTGGTTTCGGTCAGCACTTGGCCAATCAGAATCGAGGATTCTCATGGCTCTAACAAGGACCCAGAGCTCCTATTGTTTTCTTGACTGAATTTGTCCCTGAGCCTGGTACAGAGCTCTTCTTACAGGGAGGATCAAGTGAGGTCAGTTGAGGGGACAGGAGGGCTTTAGGGCCAAGAATAGTTATTTTCTTTGGGTTCTGAATGGTTCGGGCAGTTTGTGGATAAAAATGACACCATTTATCTCTGAGCACCTCGTTCATGAGGGCCCTGCAACCTTGCAATGCTGAGATGGAAATTGGGAGATGGTGGAAAGCCCAGAAAACCACCTCAGCATCCAAGAGTTCATCTTAATAGAGCTGCACTTTGTGAGATGTCCTGTTAGAGAAAAGGTACCCTCTCACCAGATCTGAGTGGCTGTCCCTTGACCCCCAGCTGGGAAAAATGCAGTGGAGAGGGCTCAGGAGTACAAAGGTATTGGAGTAATGCCGTGACCTGCAGCCACATGACCATGCCAAGCCTCGGCCTTTGGGTCTCTAAACTTACCTCTTGCCTGATGCAAGAATCAGCATTAATCATATATGTGAAAGTGCCTTATAACGATAAATATGAATGTGTGCATTTATTTCCTCAGTCAACTTCATTTTCTACCAGAAACCCTGTCTCGGATAAATCGTTCGTTGCTAGAGTTATTTGTGAATATTTCCCAGTTGAATGCTGCATGCCTGCCATGCCATGTGCACTAAAAGCAGCTGTGATCTCTGGCCTCATTAAGCGTGTGGCTTCCCATCGTCGTCGTGGGAGGCATCCCAGCGAGATTTGGGGATTAGATCATGTCCTGAAATCCCCCAGAAAGGCCACCATCTGCCCCTGATGGGGATGGGGCATAGTCTTGAACAAAGCTGTGGTCTCTGTGGGCACCTGGACTTGGCTCCTCATAGAGGGGAATCAATTAAAATGTCAAGGAGGTTTCATGTAGGCAGACCCAGCTGAGCATTACACAGGTACTGAAGCCTGTCTGCCATTCTAGCTCTGCCGCTTGGTTGCCTCGTGACCTCATAAGTTCCTGAGCTGAGCTGTTCTTCAGTCTCCTTGCCAGTAAGACAGAGATCAATGACTCAATCACAGAGGGGCTTTACACAGCACGAGGCACATGGCGTGTGTTTGTGCATGTATGCATGTGTGTGTTTATGTGTGTGTCTATTTGTATGTGTGTATATTTGGGTGTGTATTTAGGTGTATATGTGTTTATGTGTGTATTTGCACATGTCTGTATGTATGTCCTTTTGTGAGTGTGCATTTGTTGTATATTTGCATGTCCATTGGTGTGTATGTGTTTGTGTGTTTGGTGTGTGTGTGTGTGCGTATTTGGGTGTGGGTCAGGGAAGGTTGTGTGTGTCCTGTCCTCGTCATCACCCAAGGGCCTGGTGGGTGACTGTCCCATGGTACTTGCAGACTGTGCCAAGGATGAGGCTTGCAGCTTCCTCGTGGTGTCCACAACGGGATCAGAGGTTTTGTGTGATTTCCATGCTTGGACAAGTGACAACGTTGCCTGCACGACTTCCGGCCAGGTGAGACGGGGCAGCCACGTGATGGTTCTGCCTCTTGTCTGTTCTATGCCAGCCTGACACTGCTCAGTGGACACTGGGCTGATGTGGTGATGGAATGAGTTTGGTACTAGTTCATCCCATACTGCCTCCATTTCTCCAAAGCGATGAGACTTTGGGAGACGGAAGCTACCATGGGCCCTTGACAGGCCAGTAGGAAGCTGATGTAGGGAGCGTTTACCTGAGCTGCGCCGTTTCCTGACGAACGGTCAGCAAAGAACCTTGGCCTTGAGCGCCCCTTCTGTTCCCCACCACCTGTCCCTCAGGCAGCTTGGGCCTGGGTGCACAGTGTTGCAGGCGGTCCTGAGCCCTCACCACCATCTGCCCCTTGGGGTCCCAGACCCCAGCATTCCTTGCTATTGTAGAAATGAAGCATGAAAATAGCTTAAAAAGAAGAAAAATGTCAAATATTCGTCAGAACCACATGATCTTGTTGTTTCTGTACATCAAAACTGATAGGCTATTGGCAATTTTATGAAGTACCATAGAATTCAAATAGGAAGACATTAGATTAGAAAAGTAAAAGTCTCCTGTCTCCTAATTTCCTAACTTGTAAACACATCCAAATCTCCATTTTACTCTCTGATTTCTTATGGATCTTTCCAGAAAATGTCTGTGTTTTTAGAAGCATGTTTTCTGTTTTTTTTATGTGATAATATTGTAGATGTATTCTTTTCTACCTTGATTTTCTCATATTTATCTTTCCCCCTCTCTCCCCCCATATATATCTCTCCTGAAAATTTGCCTTATTTTTCCAGAGGCAGCATACCAACCCCTCCTATAGATTTCCATAATGTATTCACGTTGTTTCAGTTCAGGACATGCAGATTTATGGCGACTTTGCAAAGTCACCAACGTGGATGCATTGCGTGCCCATTTACCCATGCACCAGCGGGTCAGAGTGAATCCATAAGTGACATCCAGACAGGGCCTGGAGGATAGACCCCTAAATTTTAGGGCTTTTGAGTGACTTCTATAACTACAAGGTCTAGAGAGGAATCAGGGCAAGGTCTCAGGTTTGAATCCCATCTCTGCTACTTGCTTGTTGCTGTTTAGCCCCTTGGTGCTCAGATTGCCTGGTTGATACGGGGTCACGATGACACCCGCATTTCAGGTTGGTTGTGAGGCCTAGATATGGGCCTATATGGAAAAGCTCAGAAGAGAGTTTCTGCCACAAGGTCTGTGCCCCGTGACCACTGTTCTAATGACCGCCGTGGCAGTTCACATCATTCCTCTTGTCAGGTCTGCGGAAACTTCCATCTCAGCCATGATCAAGGCTCCTCTCCAGAGCTGGGCCTCCTGGTCCAAAGGCATGGGGTGTCAGTCCCTGGTCTTCAGGGATTGGCCACACTGCTCGATGTCGAGACCCATAGTCCCAGGAGCTGCTGCCGGCCTCCCCGGCTTCACTGCTTCTGGGCCAGGCTTGGGGGGATGGCGGGGACTCTGCCAGGGCAGGGACCCCCATGACTTGAGTTTAGGCTTCCCAGGGCTCGCCGACATCTGCGGTCTCTGTCTCTGGGTGTGGCAGCCATAAGGGGTGAGGGTGGGTGCCTGCGCCTCCTACCCCACCCAAGCCGTTCCCAGGTATGCGGGAATCTCTCCTTCTCCTGTGCTCTCCACAGCCCTCCTGTCCCTCCCCAGGCCGTCATCCCTTTAGTGAGTCCAGGCTTTCTGCAAAGCAAGAAGAACCATTGCCTTCAGACAGCTGTGCTTTCGCCCTGTCCCTCAAAATTCTCCACAGGGAGCTCGAAATTGGGTAACCTTGTGGGGCGGGGGGTGGCAAAATACTGAGAAGAAAACTCAGATTAATAGAGTCAGATTTATCCTGCCGCACCCACATGGCAATAAGTGAAAATAAGTCAGAAAGACATCCGAGGTAGCTGACAGTGGCAAGATCTCTGGAAGTCTGGCCATCTCCAAGCTCAAGCACCTTTTTGCAGATCCTCACTGGACAGTCTCCATGAGCTGGCTTCTGCCTCTGTCCCCTTTCCTGTCACTCCCTCCTCCTAGGTGACAGTCCACAAACCACTGGCCCTAGTTAGGAAACCACTCATGACATTCTGGGTGTCTGTATGAAGTTTCCTCTGCTTAATATCAACCTTTCCTTGTTTCTATCTGGTGAACTCTTACTCGTACATCAGAACCTCGCCCAGATTCACTTTTTCTGGAAAACTTTTCTGGCTCCCCTTTCTCAATAGAATTAATTGCTCCCTCCCCTTTGATTACATGTACCTTTGCAGCTCACACACTGGGCTGGAATTTACTGCGTACATGTCTGCACCAACAGACCAGGAGAAACTAACAAACAAAAACCTCTTACTTAACTTTGCAGCCACCATGCCTAGCCATGGCTAGAGTTAGAGAAATGTCTGTTGAATTGAATGATCAAACACCATGGAATGATAACACAGCGTCTTTCCATCTCCAGGTGCAAGACGCATTGGGGAACCCAAAGGCCACCGGCTTTGGAAATCTTAGCTGCCAGGTGATAGCAAGGAGCCGTGGGCAAGATCCCCTGGCTGTGTATTTGAAGAAAGGTAGGTTGGGTGAGCCGGTGGCTCGGGGCTTCAGCGGCTTCACGTGGTCATGTTGGAGCTGGTTTCCAACAGGATGCGTCTCGGGCAGAGCCAGGCTGTCCCTTCCCCACTTCATGGCCTGAGCTCCTCTTCCCTCGTCTCCAGACAGGCAGAATTTCCCACAGCCGCACAAGGCTGTGCACATCAATCTCGTCCATGTTGTCAGACTCCAACCTCGTTACAATCTGGTGGGAACTGAGAGCCTTTCTCCAGGCGAGGCGCTCAACTCCAGAGCGCCCACAAGGCTAGTAGATGGAGGATCCGGGGTGACCCGGGTGCCCCAGGCAAGCCCCCGTGGCCTGGGACGCGACCCTCGCCAAGCCCAGGTCCTGTGCTCCCTGCAGCTGCCCCTCCTGGACCTTCTGTCTCGTGGAGATTCTGCTCCTCTCCACACTGGTCTCCACCCTTCCTGGATGTTGTCAGACTTTTTCCTCACATCCGATCCACTCTTGAAAAATGCGGATCCTGGCTGGGTATGATAGTTCACGCCTATAATTTTAGCACGTCGGGAAACTGAGGCGGGAGGATTGCTTGAGCCCAGGAGTTCAAAACCAGCCTGAGCGGCATCGCAAGACTTCGTCTCTACAAAAAATTAAAAAATTAGCAGGGTGTGATGGTGCGCTCCTATAGTCCCAGCTACTAGGGAGGCCGAGGCAGGAGGATCACCTGAGCCCAGAAGGCTGAGGCTGTGGTGAGCCATGATCGTGCCACTGCACTCCAGCCTGGGCCACAGTGAGACCTTGAATTTAAAAAAAAATGCACTCCTGAGTAAGTACATGATGGGGTAGGGCCAAGATGCTGTATTTCTTTTTTTTTTGAGTTGGAGTCTCACTCTGTCGCCTAGACTGGAGTGCAGTGGTCGCTCCCGGCCACCGCAGCCTCGACCTGCTGGGCTATGGCGATCTTTCTGCCTCAGCCTTCCGAGTAGCCGGAATTACAGGCGCACGCTACCACACCCGGCTGATTTTTTGATTTATTGTAGAGATGAGGTCTCGCTGCCCAGGCGAGTCTCGAACCCGTGGGCTCAGGCAATTCACTCACCTGCGCCTTCCAAAGGCGCAGGATTACAGGCTGAGCCAAAGAGCCCGGCTTTATGCTGTATTTCTAATAACCTCTCAGAGGATGGTGATGTGCTGGTCCGTGTCCCATCCATCCTTTCACCTTCACAGAAACTCTTGGAGGAAGATGAGAGGAGATTCTCATTCCCATCTTACACACAAGGAAGTACTCAGGGCTACTGTAGCATGTGAGAGAGGCAGGGAGTCTTTCTCCAGAATCCTGGGGCCTGTGTTCTTCAGCCCTGCCCTGCTTGTCTCCTGTCTCTTCTCTGACAGGGCCAAGAGGTGCCAGCAAGGCAGAGCCACGAGCCCTGGGCCACGGCTGGCCTGTGTCACCACCTATGACTCCTCCCCCCAGTGCTCTCTAGGCCTTGGCATGTGGTTGAGGGCTTCAGAGCGAAGACACTGGAGCCTGCCCGTCTGGGCTGAACCCGGCTCTGCCACACACAGGCTGCATGGGCTTGGGCATGTTCCTGGACATGCTAGGCTTCAACTTCCTCATTAGCAAGCCAGGCGTCATAGTGGGCCAGGGTTGTGGGAAGGTTGGAATGCAGTGACGCGTGGGACGCTCTTGGTAGGAGTGTAGAACTTTTCTATGACCATTTAATCTTCCTGATGGCCTGAGGCTGCAGCTGGGCCCAAGAAGGCCGCGAGAGAGGCCTGAGCTGGGACTTGGGGGTAGGAGGGAAGGGGAGTGAGAGTGTCATTCTCTGAGGTCCATAACTCAGGGCCAGTGGCCCGGGGCTCCCACCAGCTCCAGGCTTGTGCTGGGGACAGCTGTCAACAAGACGACTGTGTCATGCCCAGGCCTTAAGTCATGACTGACTTCAATGGCAACAAGGAAGTTTCCCAATTTCCCTTGCAATTTTCTCCCAAATATAAACTTGCAGGGACTTCAGTGGCAATCTTCAGCCCACGACAGAGACAAGTGTTTGTGTATTTTTTCCTCTGGTCCTTCTTTTCCTAACACCTTCATCGACTCAGCAGAGAATTTGCCTGGGAAACCAGAGTCTGGCCGAGCCCGGGTTTCTCTGATCTGTGGCCAGGATCACTAGAATGTCTCCCCCAGTGTTTATTCCAATTCCTTTTGCTATCCATTTTAAAACAATACAGTAATAAGGATTCTTTTCTAAGAGTAAAAACCAAAATAGAGCAACGCTGTACTTTAAAACCATTACTTGGCTTTTTATAACATTAAAACAATGCAATTGTATTTCTTTTTAAGTGACTGTTATTTTTATTTTTCCTCTTCATCTCCTGAAAGTTTATATTTGGGAGAAAATTGCAAGGGAAATTGGGAAACTTCCTTGTTGCCAAACTAAATCAAGGGCAGAGCAGTGTTTTGCTGTTTTGTTCTGTTTTGCTGTTTTATTTAAAGCAGAAGAGCAGAGAGGCAGCACCCATCTCAGGGCGGCGTGGAGGAGGAGGTTGGAACGGGCTGGGTTGGCCTTCAGACTCCAGCCTCCCTCTCCCTGGCTCTGTCTCTGATCAGGAACGGCCTCCTTATTTTCACCTGAAGTTCAGTCTCTCTTCTGTAAAATAGGACTAGCATGTCACAATTGAGGAGAGAAAGACGGTTCCCGAAAGGCTCCGACACAGTCCTTGGTTCTCATTAGTTAGTAGTGTTCATTCACTTCACTGACCTGAAGTGACCTGGAAGGTGGAACTCAAGAAAGGGCCAGAGTCCTGTGGCACCAGATGTCCTGTGAACTCCTGGTGAACATCCGTGGGTTGATGGAAGAGGGGCCTTGGAGTTGTTCAGGATCAAAGGATGCCAATACCTGGAGGTTCCTTAGAGCAGGGTTCCCAGCCCCCAGGCTGTGAACTGGTACTGGTCCGTGGCCTGTTAGGAACTGGCAGCACAGCAGGAAGTGAGCCGCAGGCAAGCATAGTTCTGCATGCTGTCACATCAATGGCGGCATTAGATTCTCATAGGAGCACGAACCCTATGGTGAACTGTGCAGGCAAAGGACCTGTTTACATGCTCCTTGTGAAAGTCTAATGCCTGGTGGTCCCCCTCCACGGTCCGTGGAAAGACTATCTTCTGAAAAGGTTGGGGACTGCTGCCTTAGAGACTGTCCAGCCCAGCATCTCATCTCACAGGTATACCCACTACATCAAGGAGGGACCTCCCTGATTCTGAAAGATTTCCCTGACCTGCTTCATGTTCTGGATCTTGGCTCTTGTATGGGACAGCTCAGTGCTGGCACAGCCGTAAATAGTTATTGAGTACCCACAATATGAAATGCACTTTTGTAGGCACTAGAGATACAGTATAGATTTCACCAATGGACAGGACAGTTGATCCAGCAATAAGAGCATTTCTGAGCGTGGGATGTGCTTGGGTGAAAATGAACAGGAAAATGGGATAAAGATGAGGATGGGCTGCTTCAGGGTGACCAGGGAAGGTCCCTCAGGGCAGAAGACATTGGGCCTGAGGCCAGAGGATGGGAAGGAGCCCATCCAAGGCCAAGGCCTCGGGGTGGGTGGACTTCTGCACTGCCTGTCAGATGCAGAGAGTGCCAAGGTGAGCTGAGATGGGCCCTAGGCTCCAGGGTGGCACCGCCCAGTAGAACTTTCCACAGGGATGGAAATGGTCTAGACAGTGTGCTGTCCGCTATGACAAAAGGGGTAAGCCAAAACAAAAATGGAATTATCTTTTGGAAGATGAGCCCTTTGTAGTACACTCGGAATTTGTTCCTCCAGATTTAACAGTCAACCAAAGTTTTTATCTGGAAGTTTGGAGAAGACTGTGTCACAATTTGCAGAAGAAACATCCCGAGTTGTGTCAAACAGGTGCCTGGTTCTTTCACCATGACAACACATCTGCCCACACCCTGCTGAGTGTTCAGTAATTTTTGGCCAAAAATGGTATGACCCCATCCATGCTCTATGCTTCTTATTCACCCAATCTTGCCCAAGTGACTGTTTTTTTTTGTTTCACCGGATTAAGAAAACCCTCAAAGGGAAACAATTTGTGGATGTGGAAGAGGTGAAACAAAAATGGCAGTAGTACTCAAAGACCTCCAAATAGACAAGTTTAAAAACTGTTTTGAGCAGTGGAAAAAAACATCTCGATAGGTGCGCTGCATCAAGGAGAGAGGACTTTGAAGGTGACTAAAGCTTAAACATATAAGAATAAATACACTATTTTTTATATATAAAATCCGACTTCTTGTGACTATTGCAACAGTAACATTGATGGGCTGAAACTGACATTCAAATAGACACACAGGACTGATGACTGCTGCATCAGATATCAGAGAGTCACCGCAGGGACTGCATGTGGGTGGAGGAGTAGACATTCTCTCAAGGAGCTTAACCACAGGGTGAGGGATGGTAGATCCTTTAGTAGAAGCCTAAACATGATGTGAGAGAGATCAAGGGAGGCAGAGACTAATTCTAACAGTAAAAATCCAAGGATGAACCCTTCAAATTAAGCTGGGATTTGGTGAAGTGTGGGCAGGGGCTTTGCTGGCTTCGTTGAGGTCATCCCAGGCAGAAGGGGCTGAGCGAACCAGTGCTCGGAGGAATAAGATGCTAACTTTTCCGAGACATGCTCAATATCCCCTGAGCATAAACTAAATGCCAGGCTCAGGGCTCAGCCCTTTTTCTGTTGCTTTTTGTTTGTGAATTGCAGTCTCCCTCCATCGCCCAGGCTGGAGTGCCATGGCACGCTCACGCCCACTCCAGCATTGACCTGCTGGGCTCTGGCAATCCTCCTGCCTCAGCCTTCCAAGCAGCTGGAACTATAGGCATGCACTACCACACCTGGCTAGTTTTTTGATCTATTGTAGAGTTGAGGTCTCACCACGCTGCCGAGACTGGTCTGGAACCTACGGGCTCAGGCAATCCACTCGCCTCGGCCTCCCAAAGTGCTGGGATTACAGGCTGAGCCACTGAGCCCGGTTTCAGCCTTCTAATATACAGTCTCTCTTTGTCTCTGCTCATTGTACGCGTGAATACTTATCATCATCCCCACTGCACAGAAGGGGAAGTCAGAGCTCTGAGGAATTAGGAACTCACTGGGCAGAAGTACTGTTGGGGTCTACACTCAGCTCTGTCTAGCTCAGAAGCTTGTGCTCTTGGGTCCCGCACTGTAAGCCTGTCCACGCCCTCCAGATGTGTGATCAGAAAAGACTTGGTGAACTGCTGGATTGACAGGGTCAGAGTAGTGAAGGGCACAGGCTCTGGGGTCCCTTCTGCCACTCGCCAGCTGTATGAACCAGGGCAAGACCAACCACATGTCAAGAGTTTCTTTCCTCAAACGTAAGATGGGCCTAAGAACAGGGCAGACCTTTTGGCTCTCATGGCTGTGTGTGTATATCTGTGTGTGTGTCCCTGAGAAATCTCATGTTTGCAAAGTGATGCTCTAAAAATAGCGGGGCTATTTATGGGAAAACTGAGTTAGGGACAGGCAAAGCTCAAACCCTGCCACTTGTAACCAGAAGACTGGAAAAAATAATGACAATTCTACTTAAAAACATTTTGGTTTTTCTGAGTTGGGGGTCTCACTATGTCCTTCTGCCTCAGCCTTCCAAGTAGCTGGAACTACAGGCACGCGCTACCATGCCTGACTTATTCTTTGGATTTATTATAGAGACGAGGTCTCACCAAGTTGCCCAGGCTGGTCTCGAACCCCTGGGCTCAGCCAATCCTCTTGCCTCAGCCTCCCAAAGTGCTGGGATTCCAGGCTTGAGCCACTGAACCCAAATTTTTAAAAATTTTTTAATTTTTTATAGATATGAGGTCTCGCTATGTGCCTAGGCTATTCTGGAACTCCCAGCCTCAAGTGATCCTCCCATCTCAGCCTCCCAAAGTGCTGGGATTACAGGCCTGAGACACCACGCCCAGCCCCTGCTTAAAAAATGTTAGAGCAGTTTTTAATTTTTTTATTTTCTAGAACAGTTTTTTTAAAAAGATGTGTTGAATTCATAGTTAAAAATGCTACAGTAGGCTGGGTTCAGTGGCTCAGTCTGTAATCCCAGCACTTTGAGAGACCGAGGTGAGTGGATTACCTGAGCCTGCGGGTTCGAGACCCACCTGGGCAACTTGGCGAGACCTCATCTCTAAAATA